TGCATGTGATGTATGCTGATGACTCTAGTGTGCTTCCCTCTTATTACCCCGTGTTGCCTAGTGTAGCGGTGCCTAGCGTAGACTCCCCTGCTGCGTCAGGCGTAGGATCTCCTGCTTTGCTTAGCCTTGGTGCTTCCACCGCTTCACTGCTGCCTCGCGCGACTGCTGCGCTTTCCTTCACCTTGGACTCTGGCGCCTCCCGGTGTTTCTTCCGCGACTCCACGACGCTGACGCCGCTGCCTGTTCCCGCTGCAGTTACTCTTGCTGACCCCTCCGGTGGTCCCGTCGTTGCCCGCAGTTCCACCTCCCTTCCCTGTCCGGCGGTTCCTTCGGGCACTCTCACAGGTCTGCATATCCCCTCGTTCTCCAGGAACCTAGTTGGTGTCGGCTGCCTCCAGGACCTTGGCGTCACCACTACGTTCCCTGGTCACGAGCGGTATGCTGTCTGTACCGAGGCCGCCACTGGTGCCCCCCTTACCACTTTCCCCCGGGACCCGGTGTCCGGCCTGTTCACACTTGACACCGCGCCGTCCCCGGCTGGGTCTTCCCCCCCGGTAGTTGCGTCCACCCAGGTTGCAGCCGCGTGCTCCTGTCGGTCCCTCACTCACCCGACTCTCCTTTGGCACCACCGCCTTGGTCACCCTGCACTCCCACGTCTGCGTCACATGTCCCAGCACGGTCTCGTCCTTGGTCTCCCCGGTTCGTTCCCCGAGTTTCCCTCCTCCCCCGCCCCACCGTGCACGCCTTGTGTCGAGGGCCGGCTCCGCCGTGCCCCTCACTCCTCCTCTTTTCCCCCTACCACCGCACCACTGCAGACTCTGCACATGGACGTCTGGGGCCCAGCCCCGGTCCATGGGCCGCGTCGCGAGCGCTTCTTCCTAGTGCTTGTCGACGACTTCACGCGCTACACCACCGTCTTCCCCCTGGGAGCGGAAGGCCGACGTGCCTGACGTTCTCATCCCCTGGCTTGTCTCTGCTCGTGTCCACCGCGGTCTCCCTGCCTTGCGCCTTCACTCCGACCGGGGTGGCGAGTTTGCCTCAGGTGTCCTTGGTCGCTTCTGTCGTGCGGAGGGCATCACCCAGACGTTTACCCTGCCGGACTCCCCGCAGCAGAATGGGGTCGCTGAGCGACGCATCGGTTTGGTCATGGAGGTGGCTCGCACCTCCATGATCCACGCCGGTGCACCCCATTTTCTGTGGCCGTTCGCCGTGCGCTACGCCGCTCACCAGCTTAACCTGTGGCCGCACCCCCAGCGGCCGCAGGTTTCGCCGACCCTTCTGTGGACCGGGTCCCCTGGTGACGCGTCTGCGTTCCGCGTCTGGGGCTGCCTTGCTCACGTTCGTGCCTCTGGCACGGACAAGCTCACTGCCCGCACCCTCCCCTGCGTCTTCCTCGGTTTCCCCCTTGACGCGTCCGACTGGCACTTCTACCACCCGCCGTCTCACCGCTTCTTTCACTCTCGCGACGTCACCTTTGACGAGTCCGTCTCCTTCTACCGCCGCTTTCCCCACCGTGGTCCCTCGGTTACTCCCCCCCTTTTCCTGGTTCCTCCCTCCCTGGTGGTCCCTGCCCCTCCCCCCCCCCCGCCCCCCCGTCCGGCCCCCTCTGGTGTGTCTCACGTCACCCCCCTCCCGTCGGTCGTCCCGGTCGACGAGTCTTCTGACTCTGGTAGTCCTCCGGCGCAGTCCTCGCCGTCTGTCCCTCCCCCGGTGTCTCCTCCTCCACCGCCTCCGCAGCCGCCGTCGCCGCAGCTGCTGCAGCCGTCGTCTCCACCGCCGCCGCCGTTGCAGCCGTCGTCTCCGCCGCCGCCGCCGTCGCAGCCGTCGCTGCAGCCGCCGCCGCCGCCGCCGCTGTCGTCGCTGCCGCCGTTTGTGGACTCTGGGGGTGTCCCTTCTGGGGGTGCAGGTGTGGAGGGTTCGGGAGGTAGCCGTCGCGCAGCTTGTGGCCCTGGTGTTGGTGTTGTGTCGCCGCAGCAGCAGTCCCCGCCTGTGTCCGCCCTCCGTCTGCTCGGCCTTCCGTCTCCTGACCCTGCGCCTGTTCCTCTCCTGCCGTCTCCCCCTCTTCCCGTCTACGGCCCCGTGTTCCCTCTGCCGGACTCGTCCCCGGCTCGTCTTCCCCCTCGTTCCCCTCCTGTGTCCCCTCCTCTGTCTCCTGACCCGACGCCGCCCTCACACGTCTGGTCTCGCCGCCCCTCTCGTGCTCGTCCTGTCTCCCCTGTCCCGCGCTCTCACCCTATGTTGCTCCGTTCCCACGCGTCTCGACCTCCCCTCCTCCCGTCTCCTCCTCCGTCTTCTCTTGTCGTTGCGTCTCCTCCTCTGTCCGACTCCTTTCGTGCCGCTCGTCCTCTTGTTCCTCGGGTCCTTGCCTCTCTCGTTACCGACCCGTCTGTTCCCGTGTCGAGTCTTGACGCCCTCGTCGCTGCGGTCGCTGACTTCGCCTCTACCCGCCGCCTTGACTACGCTACCGCTCTGGTCTCCGACCCTGCCTGTCCTCCGTCTGTCGGGGGTGCTCCTGCCCTCGGCAGTGACGTCCTGGAGGACCGCCAGTTTGAGCTTGCTTTCCTGTCCGAGGCTGCTCCCCATCTCTGTTCCATGCTGCTAGTCCCTGAGGGTGACCCAGACGCTTTCGACATCCCGACCCCTCGTACTTACGCTGAGGCGGTTTCGGGACCCTGGGCCTCGCAGTGGATAGCTGCCATGGAGCAGGAGATGGCATCTTGGAGATCCACCGGCGCCTTCGTCGACGCAGTTCCCCCACCTGGGGTGAACGTGGTCGATGGCCGCTGGCTCTTCAAGGTGAAGCGCCCTCCTGGAGAGCCGCCTGTGTTCAAGGCGCGCTACGTGGCTAGAGGCTTCAGTCAGCGCGAGGGGGTGGACTTCTTTCAGACTTTCGCTCCTACCCCGAAGATGACTACTCTTCGGGTGCTGCTACACGTAGCGGCTCAGCGTGACTACGAGCTTCACTCCCTCGACTTCTCCACTGCCTTTCTTCAGGGCAGCCTTCACGAGCAGGTCTACCTGCGTCGCCCTCAGGGCTTTACTGGCACCTTCCCCCCTGGGACCCAGTGGCTTCTGCGGCGGCCAGTCTACGGCCTGCGCCAGGCGCCTCGTGAGTGGCACGACACTTTGCGTGCTACCCTTGCTGACCTGCAGTTCTTTCCGTCCTCTGCAGACCCCTCGCTCTTCGTTCGTGCTGGCTCGACTCCGTTCTACATCCTCGTCTACGTAGACGACCTGGTCTTTGCCACTGCTGACAGGGACGCACTGGCCTCCGTGAAGGCAGAGCTGCTGAAGAGACACACCTGCACTGACCTTGGAGAGCTGCGCCGTTACCTTGGCTTGCAGATCTCCAGGGACAGAGCCGCGCGCACCATCACCCTGACTCAGTCACACTTGGTGCGCCAGGTCCTTCAGAGGTTCGGCCTTCAGTTCTCCTCCGCACAGCCCACCCCTCTTCCTCTGGACCACAGACTCTCCGCTCCAGTTCCTGAGGAGTCGGTAGATCCCAGTGGTCCTTACGCTGAGCTAGTGGGTTGCCTCATGTACCTGATGACTTGCACTCGCCCAGATCTCGCATACCCTCTCAGCATCCTGGCTCGTTTCGTGGCCACAGGCAGGCACCGACCTCAGCACTGGTCTGCCGCTAAGAGGGTTTTGCGTTATCTTGCAAGTACATCGGGCATGGGTTAGTGCTAGGCGGACGCAGGCCAGTGGTCCTTACTGGACACACAGACGCTTCTTGGGCAGACGACGCCGAGACGCTCAGGTCTTCCCAGGGCTACTGCTTTAGCCTTGGTTCAGGTGCTGTCTCGTGGAGAGCTACCCGCTCTTCGTCTGTTGCCCAGTCCAGCTGTGAGGCCGAGATCTACGCCGGTGCCATGGCGGCACAGGAGCTCCGCTGGCTGACCTTCTTGCTCACTGACTTAGGTGAGCGGCCTAGCTCTGCCCCGGTCCTGTACGCTGACAACAGGGCCATGATTCTCCTGTGTCAGGAGCCTCGACTCGAGGGCAGAGCGAAGCACATCCAGCTGCGGTACTTCCTCCTGCGTGAGCTACAGCAGCGTCGCCAGGCTCGCGTAGTACACTTAGCCTCCGGTGCCAACACAGCTGATATCTTTACGAAGGCGCTTGCGCCTAAAGATCATCAGCGGCACTGTGTGCAGCTTGGTCTGGTTCCTGTAGTCTCTCACTTACTCGGGCCTTGACTCTGTACTGTCCTATATATCTGTGTGTACACTCAGACTGGACTTGTGTCCTCTTACAGTGGTTGGACTAGTAGTGCCGCCCTGTACTAGTTCTTGCCTTGCCTGTACTCCTTCTGACTGGTCTTTTAGACCCTTGTCTCAGAGGTTGGACTAGTAGTGCCACCCTGAGCTGCTTGTCTAGAACATTCCCCTATGCAGTCCAGGGGGTGTGTCAAACATGTTTAGTTATCATGCTTGTATAGACTGTATAGGGTCATCTTCTAGAGAGTACAACAGTTAGATATATGTTTGTGTACTCTCTCTCTCAATTCATCAATTTCACTGTTTGATAGTTACTGTAGACTATACTGGATTGTGCCTTAGAGGGTACTACACCCTAGTCTATATATCCTTGTACACACACATTCTAGTTCAATCATTTTTCTTTCTGATAGAAGGTGCAAGGCAAACCCTTTTTCCTTAGCAAGCCTCGCAAATATCGAGTACAGCCCTACAACCCAGGTCACGAACTACGTTCGAGGCTCCCAAGCCTACACGCTGAGTCACCGACACTTCCGAGCCCTGAGGCGCCCAAACCAACTCGCGTGTTTTTCATGGCCCTCCTCGAGGCTCCCTTGCTAAGCTAGCTGTGCTTTTATTTAGCCCTGTATTTTATTTGTACTCGAGACACTTTAATCACTACCTCTATTGCATTACTCGACTCCTATGCGGGGATTATCATAACACCTGGGCAGCGAACGTACCTGGCACAAGCAGTGGATTTGGTTAATCTCGTGCCAAGGTCCTCGCCTGACCGGGATGCTCATGTATTTATTGCTTCACCTCCGAGTGTAATGGATTCATAGCGACATCTAACATCATGTTAGCTGTAAACCCCACATTCACAGACACCCTGCTTCACTGTCAGCTCTAACCTAACATGGGCCTCCCAAACCGGTCTAGCTCCTCCCAAGCCGGTCTCACTCCTCCCTGGCCTGTAGCACAGGCCTCCACATGGTTTTTTGAAACGCGAGGACAGTATCGTCAGTGTTACGCTTGTAACTGTCAACTGCCTCCCAATGTAGTGCCTCTGCCACTGTTTCCACCACAGCGGCTGTGGCGTTGGTCTCTCTGATAATGGCATACCCCATGGGCCGCAGCATGCGATCCATCTCCAGCATCACATCCACAATGTCACACCTGGGGTTTGGGGAGAGGGATGCAGCGGAGTAGGAGAGGAGGTTAGGGGCATAAGGAGAGGCAGAGGGGCAGGTGACCTCTGCGTTGATGCAGAGTCCCAGGCAGCTTGGGCGGATAAGCGGAATTGGTATGCATGGATGCAGCAGGTTGTGGGGCGGGTGGTAGTCACACCATGCAAACAAAATCTACACTTATTATCAGGCTTAGGAGGGCGGACCAGGCTTACTAGAGGCTCATCAAGCTTACACGTACTTCCTTCTCAGGATACGAGGACTTATCAGCTTACCCGCGGCGGTGGTTCTTGTTGAGGTGGGAGAGCAGGTGGTCCGCGTGCAGCAGGTCGTACGTGCGCGGGTACGTGGAGAACGACTCGCACCAGTCGTGGTATACGCCCAGCAGCCCGCGCTCAAACACCGCGGGAAGAGTGTCCGGGCGCGACGTGGGCACCACGTTGAGTGTCCATAGGGGCTTGCCCGTGCCTGCTAGCGCTGCTCCCCACCTGGAGTTAGCGGGGATGGGGGGGATGGGAATGGGGCGTGGCGTGGGGTGTTGGGCGGTGGGGTGTGGAGCACCTTAGGCGTTGGGGAATGAGACATGGATGGATGAATGAGGAGGGACGAGCGAAACATGGAATACACAGGAGGACGCATGAACGCATACTGATGCACCACCATGCACACCCTGGCCCACCAGGGGGGCCCACCCATGGCCCACCCATGGCCCACCCATGGCCCACACGTACCCTCCCATGCGAGCATCCATGTCCATCACATTGCGAATCGTGCTCCAGTCGAACCCCATCCGCCGCTCATACGTCCGCTGCACCCGCTGCCACCTCTCCGTATCATTCTCAAACCCCCCATACCCCCCGTACCCATACCCATCTCCCGCGCCCCTCCTCCTACCCCCATCCCACTCCCCATCCCCGCCGCCAATCCTCTCCTGCTGCAGCTGTAGCCGCAGCTGTAGCCTCTCATCCACGCCCCTGCTCTCACTGCTGCTACTACTGCTGCTGAAAATGAAGCTGCTACTGCCACCACCGCTGCTGCCACTGCTGCCGCTCGCGCTGGCCTCGTTAAACTCCTCCCACACCTCCTCCTCCTCCGCCACCGTGCGGCTCTCCATCGCTTCCGCCGCGCCGTCCAGCCACACGGGCTCCGCGGTGAGCCGCTCCGCGCCGTCCGCGGGCCACTGCGAGCCGTGCTGCGAGTCGCGGTCCATGGGCACGCGGTGCATGCACGACTGCATGGGCACGTACCTGGGAGGGCGGAAGGGGGGGAGGGTAGACGACGGAGGGTAGACAAGTGGGAGGGCGGAAAAGCGGGAGGGCAGCAGACAAGTTTGTGCACGAGAGCAGGAGGATAGAGGGGGAAAATGGCTGACGAACGAGCAACAACGACCGTACATTTGATCTACGCGTGCTGGCACGGGGCCTGCCTCGTACTGGGTGGACCGGAATGGGAGGGAGGAACGAAGGGTTTTGCGTGCTGGAGGAACGAACAAGCGACATAGGCGATACGACGACGCGAGCTAACGACGATGAACAACCAGGAGTTAGTTACCAGGAACAATAAGAGATACGTATTACGCAGCGTCGGGCTCGTCAGCGATCGAGCACAGCGGCGCAGCGTGGTGAGTCTATTTGTGAGGTGCCTCAAAAAGACGTACCACGCAGCGTCGGGCTCGTCCGCGATAGAGCACAGCGGCGCAAGCGACGAGTTGCTAGGGCGGTGGCGGTAGCACCGGTTGTCCGTGGGCTTCTGCCACACTGCCACTCCTATCCCGAACGTCGAGTTCACGCGCTTGGCGCGCAGCGTCCAGCACATACGCGCTGTAAGCTCCTCCATCGTCGCCCACACCTGCCGGTCGTCCGGCTCGAACGCCTTGCAGTCGAGGCACACGGGCGTGGCAGACCAGATGAAATACCCCCCGGGGCGGATAAGGCGGTTAAGCTCGAGCAGAAGCATCCCGCCGTTGGCGTGCCACGGCACGCGGCACCGCGCGCAGTGCACGGCGTCGAACGAGTTCGCGGGGAACGGCTGGCGCAGCGTGCCCATGACGCCGACCAGCGCGGGGACGCCGCGCTCCAGCGCGAATTGCACCTGCGCCTCGTGCTCGTCCTTGGGCGCCACGGACAGCACCTTAACGCTCATCGCGTCCAGGTACGCGCCGAAGCTCGCGACGCCGCAGCCCATGTCGAGCGCGACCTGCACGTGGCGGCCCCACGCGAGCTCGGGGAGAACCTGCTCCAGCCACGCGATGTACGTCGCGGCGCCGTACTTAAACTGCGTGCCGCCGCCGGGGAAGATGAAGCGGTCCGATTGGACTTTGAGCCAGTTCTGGTCGGCCTTGTAGTTGGCTAGGGACGTGCGCGGCACGTTGTTGAACCAGATCTGCGACGAGGGGACGTACGTGGATGGGTGGGAGATGGGTGTGGATGGGGTGGATGGGTGTGGATGGGTGTGGATGAGCGTGGATGGGCGCGGATAGGCGTTGATAGGCGGGATATGGGCAGGAGATCCGGGCAATTCAGAATCAGTAACGGACCCACACATCAGGAAGCACCTTTCGTTCACGAGCTCGTGGCGGAAAGACGTTCCCCCTTCCCTTCCCCTCTGAACTGCTAGCCACCCGGTCCCTCCCACCCGTCCCCACTCTCTTCCCTCCTCCCCCGTTACCCTTTCCCCATTCGCCCATCTCCCCTCGTGCGCGCGTCTCACCTGGTCGCGGCTCTCGGGCCATGGCACGTGCGGCTTGTACCCGTCGGGCATGGGCACGACGCAGCGCGGCATCTCCTGCGGTTTGGGGCAGTGCCGCTCGCGGTGCTGGTACTGCTTCGTGGTGCGCAGCTTCTTAATCGCCTTGGTGTTGTCGAGGCACGGGATGTAGTCGTCGCGCACCGCGTCGCACAGCGGGAACGAGTCGGGGATCGCGGGGAGCAGCATGCTGCCCGTCACCGCGCCCGCCGAGTCGGGGGAGCGGGAGGTCTGCGGATGAGGAGGCGCGGGGAGAGGGGGGGGAATGGGGGAGTACGAGGAATAAGGGGATGAAGGGAAGGAGAGGGATATGCGGGAGGCGAGGGGAAATGAATTGAGAGAAAAGAAAGGAAGATTGAGAAGTCAAAGAAAATATTAACGCGAAGGTTTTAGCATTTGAGATTGGGAATTCCAGGTGGCAACAAGTTTTCTGCACAGCTCACCTTGTCGCTCCCTGGTCTGGTTAGAAGCCATGTTCCGATAAGGATTAGCACGGTCGCGACCGCTATGGTGTTGCTGGGCTGATTAGCCGCGCGGGGACCCATGGCTCAGTTCAGGCTGATCTGAACGAAACTGAACGAAACTTAACGAAACTTCACGAAAACCGCAAGCGCGACTACACGAGCCCAGCTGGCGATGACAAGGAATACATGCAGACGGAGACTTGCTGCTCTTCGTCCTCGTTTGTCGTTTCACTCCGTGGGTAGGAAGCGCTCAGCAGCGAACGCTGATGCGCCCTGACTGGCAATTGCTTGAGTCGGAAAGGGGATGAAAAAGGTCGAGGCGTGGAAGCGGAAGGTGATGGATGACACAAGGCGGACGACTAACCACGCGGAGTCGGTTCTCAAGAGAGGGAGCAATCGTGAAGGCGGAAGGAATTGATGGGACGGACAAGGAATCCCTGGGCCGCTCGCCCGAAATTCAGACCTACAGAGCAGATTCCCAAGAGACTGACGAATGCTCAAGTGGAGTGATGGGGAATGCCGAGAAAGCCCCGTGTGTCGCACTGCCTTGTGGCTGTGATGCGAATTTCCCGAGGTTCAAAAGTGCGATTCGGCACACACAACGGTTCTGATCTGGTTTGGTTTGGAAGCCTTCCTGCTGCCTCGAGGGCCCCACCCACTGTTTCGGTTCGGAATCGATGGCACCAACTGTCCCGAACCGACGCCTGCGATTTCGGGAAAACGCGCGCTCCGTGCTCTGGTCAGGCATGGGGTTCGGATGATCGCTTGGGACGGGGCCAAAGCTGAGCGCGAAAGCAACGGCAGTGCGGTGCGCGAGGATCCCGCCCGTGGCTCAGATTCAACCAGACTGGCAGCATTCGAGGTTTGATGCGGTGTAGCGCAGTAAATAAAATAGACGTACCTGTATTTAGTGTTCTTCAGCATCGTTACAAGTTAACTTCTTGAGAGAGACTCAAGACAAGAGGACACCCTTCTGGTTAGGTCCAGCTTCAGCTAATGTCCCTCTTTATAGCAATATCTTGGCCATCACAACGTGCGGTGAACCACACGACTTGGTAATCGCATACTGAAGGGTGGTGTAGTTGAAGATACGAAAGATAATCTTTGCAGTACATATTAGGTGAGGGCTGGACACAGTAGAAACAAACACGGCTCACAACACAGGGTGTCACCATCTCCCAAACCAACGCATTTCCAAGTTGAGAAACCAGCAGCCAGAAACAACATGCTACATTTAGTCCGTCTTCTCGACCTTCTTCTCCACATGCCCCGTGGTTGGCCTGCATAACACAACCACAATAAATTAAAACAACTCAATAACAACCAACCACGCTCAACCACAAGCATAGCTAGTAGCAGAACCCTACAAGCACGGGACGAGGTGCATACATGCCTACAGAGACGGTAAGAGGGCGAGGGGGGGGGGGGGGGGAAGGGAGGAAAGGGAAACTTACAGGCCAACGAAGACCTTGAAGGCGTCGTAGATGCCCCATTGCAGCCCTGTGAGCGTGCCCACCATCACAATGCGCAGGGGCAGACCGCGAGTGCACAGAGCCACGATGCCCATCTTCTCCACCGCCTGTTTGGCCAGGGGAGCACACGAGAACGCACAAGGCAAGGGCAGAAGTAGGTAGTCGTGAGGAGGGAGCCATCAGCAGTCGGTGCAGGGCTGACCTTGACCTACTTGGGCTAGTATTTAAGCTGGCACAACAAATAACGCGTTATGGAAATTGAAGGAAGAATCCATCTGGAGGTAAAAACGAGACTCTCCAACTCAGTACCTGGGCAACAGTGGCGCCCTTGGCGTTGTTGAGGAACGACACGAGGTTGTCAGCGGGGTGCGAGACGACCGCGCAGAAGACTCCAGCAATGTACCCCGCGGCGAAGCTGACGCCCAGCTGCGTGCGCTTGGAGCACTCGTCCTTGGGGTACGGCACCACGTACTTGTACAGCGTCTCCACCGTCTTCTCAAAGCACGCGAACTTCATCATCGTGTCTGGAGGAAGGTAAGGGAGGGAAGGGGGAGGGGAGGGAGAGGGGGGGAAGGGGAGGAGCGAGGGTGGATTGGCTGGACGGATGCTTGCAACGTCGTTAAGCTGCGTTTGCTACCACGACTGGAACACGAGACGCGGAAAAGCTATAGGAGAGTGCGTGGTAGTGTGGTCAGCTGAAAACGACCATCAGGGGGCAGGGTTTAAGGAAGGTGGGTGGGGGGGGGGGGGGGGGGGGGGGAGGAAGGAGAGAAGAGGGGGAAGGACACGCATCGCAATGCCACAGCCAGCGTTGCTAGACTTGACTTATTCGTCTCGACTTACAGGGAATTTGACGGCCCCATAGCGGTCCGATACCCTTGTACAGCCTGCACAGGACGCAAGCGGCAAGAGGTGAAGGATCACACATAAGCGACGACAATTCGAATCAAAGCTTAACGACGAAAAAACAATATAAAAATCCGTCCCGTTTGGTGAGAAAACACGTTTGCGCGGATATATCCTGCATATTTTCGGCTCTTGTAGCCATTCTAAGTTCATTATACGACATATACATGTATGTGGAGGTGACTCACCCGGCGTATCCCTCAGCAGCGATGTACTTGGGCCACCCGTCGAGAAGCCCCCGCGCGAAGCCCGGCTGCGTCTGCACGCGCACCTTCACCGCCTCAAACGGGCACAGCGCCAGGTCAGCAATCACCTCGGCTGACGCGGATCCCGCCAGATAGATCAGCGTGCGGTACTTGTTGCTGAACTCCGGGCCTGCCAAATCGCTGTAGAGCTTCTTGAAATACTCGTAGAAGCCGAACTTGCACGCGCCCTGCCCGCTGTACCCAATAAGAGTGGGCGCCCAGCCCCGGAAGAAGCCGCGGAAGCCCTGCTCGCGGTACAGAACGCCGAAGCCCGACGAGATGCTCTTGTACTTGACGGGATCGATCTGAAACCCACGGATCGACGAGCGGATCGGGGGACGGATCGGGGGACACAAGGCACGCAGTAGGAAGGGTTCAAGTAACGGGAGGCCGGAAATCGTGGCCGCCTGAGCCATATATCTGGGTACCAGGGACGTAACGCGGTCAGGGGCCAGACATTAAGCTTGATCAGCACAGATAGTGGGTCAAGGAAACAACAGAAAGCTCCTAACTTTCTTGGGTTCGGTCCAGCGGCTTTACGAAGGATGATGACCAACCAACATTGGCATCCCGTAAAGATTACGGCTTGAACCAGAGCACGAAGCCACTCGACATCGTTGTTTGATCCCAATCCCGATCCCGGTCACCATCACGGTATCGCACTTATGAATAATCTGTCCGATTCCTGCTGCCGACTCAATTGTTTCATAAATTAAGACGTTATCGGATGACGAGGAAAGAGATTAGAGGTCCAGACCACGGAACGATCGGATCAAACAATGACCGAGTCAGCTTCACGATCTGATCACCGTCCGATCAGACTATCACAACCCAATCCACGTTCCTCAATGCGCTGAAAAAGGGATCGCGATCCGATCAGTATCACCACCCGATTTGGATCAACACTGGATCAGACATATCGATCCAGATATCGATCGAATCAAGATCACGATCCATCGCTTACCTGCATGTTGCACTTGACGAGATCGAGCGGCGTCACCGCCATGTGCGTGAGCCCGCAGCTGAGGATGCCGCCCGCCGTGCAGGCCGCGTAGAACTGCGGCGAGTGCATCGCGATCCCCTTGCCTTCTGCGGCCGCTGGCACGAAGAACCGGCTACCGGTACCGCTGCTGCTCCTGCTGACGCTGCTGCTACCGCTGCTGGCGCTGGTGCTGCTGCCGCTGATCCCAGCGAAGCCCACTCTCCTGGCCAAGTCGAGCCCGTTCCTCGCGGGAACCAGAGCCGACGTGGCGGGCAGTTCGACCGACCTGCTGACCTCGGGCTGAGCCGAGGCTCTGCGGAGCGCAGCGGCGGCTGCTGTCGAGTAGAGCGACGAGGGGAGGAGGCCGTGTCTCCTGTCGGTGGATGAAAAGGCCATCGAGTATGAGGCGGTGAGCGATCTAGTCAAGATCGATTTGAGGGAGATCGGATGGGAAGGTAAGTAGGCGATTCGTGGAGATGGTGGTGGTTGCTGCGGGGGAGAGGAGTATGGGAGGACCTGGGTGGGGGGAATGGTGGAACAGCAGCCGCTGCTGCGTGAAGCCGAGCAGGCGGAAAGGTGAACTGGCCGATTGTTGGCTGTCAGAATGACCAGCCTCGGCCTAATAAACGCTCGTTGGGAGGCGTGTGGGGGGTGGAGGCGGGCGAGGGAAAGAGAGAGAGGGGGCCTTCAAGCGAGGGGGGCGCAGTGAGCAGGGCAATCAAGGGGAGGATAGAGAGGGGGAGGAGAGGGGGTGATCAAAACGGACTGGAGACGAGATGAGTCAGGCTGAGCCCAGTCAAGAGGAGAACCTTGAGGGAGTGAGAGTGCGGTTAGTGGCGTGGCGTGGCACGGGAAATGATCAAGAGGGGGGGGGGGGGGGGGGGGTGCGAAGGAGTGCAACCGCGCTTGCGTGGTGGTTCGCCAGCTCAGCCTCACCCAACAACCGCGCTCTGATTGCTCACTGGACACTCCCGACGCCAATGTGGTCCCACGGCGGCGCGCATTGTGGCTGGAAGTGCTCAATGTGTGCAATTTTGGGCAATCCAGGCTGCCCGAGAGCGAGAATATTCAGCTGCTGACCAATTGCAGTTCAAAACGGAAGGTGGAGCGAGCCTCGTTCAAGAGGCACAGAAAAACACTCCCTGGGCTTTGGGAAAGGCGAGCGGTAGCCACTCAGCACGAGGACACGTGTCAAAAGGACCCAATCGCCTTGGCATAGTCGCGCACAGCGAAATCAGCAAAGATTCCTTCGTCGCGGAATCGACGGATGACATTCGTTGCCCCCGCACTCTCCATAACCACCTCCAGTAGAATATAAGTGCATCACGAACAAACGAAGTGCAGTTAACAGTTATCAAAATGTCAATCATCCAAGAACACAACACAAAATGGGATGGAGTGAAGATTTCAACAAGCACAACAATTGTTGTACATTCCACCACACTGGCACAGCCTGACACGAGCACGTGTGACAACCAGCCATAGTACATGGATTTTTCAATTAAAGCAATGCCAACCAAACCTTCCATTACGGTAGCTTCCCTTCACACCAGCCTCCATCCTGTCCCCCATTCCATTCTGCATCCTGAACCATGCCTCACAGATCAAACTCATCGTCCTCATCGTCACCTGCCTTTAGTGGTTTGCTCACAGCCTTATCCATCTCTATTCCGCCCGCCTCCTCGTCATCATGCACTGAGAAGTACGGGTTCGCATCCATCGGCCGGAACTGGTAACCCGTAACGCAGTAAAACACCAGCGTCACCACTTCCCCCGCCAGATCCGCCGTCCACGCGTAGTGATACGGCATGGTGGACCGCAAAAGGTACACCACAATGCGCGTGAAGTAGATGTAACACACCACGAGCACGTAGAAGTGCCTAAAGAGCTGCAGCTTGGCCATGATGCGAGCAGCTTTCCCGTCCGAATGAGCAGCCTCCCTGAGGTGCTTGATGGACCAGATGATGGGGAAGAAGACGGCGCAGCAGCAGAGGATGTCCAGCAGGTGGAAGATGTCCCGCCACGTGAACCACGACTGCGACGACGGCCCGCTCTCGTCCAGAATGATTGTCGCGATGTTGGCAAACACCTGCACAGGACGAGGTGAACAGGAGAATTGGTGGACGGGCATGTGTGGGTGGGTTCGCTGTCTGTTTGTGCAGGAATTGGCTTGCCGAGATAATGAAAATGACATGTGTAAAGGACCCCCGCACAACAATCGGCCATAATGGGTTCAGCCTCACCATCTTTCAAACACTCGCCAGGACCAGCACGGACTCCTTATCTCCCCTCCCACTTCGATTCGCCCCCCAACCCCACCCCTACCCTCTTCCTCGTTTCCTCCCTCCCCCCCCCCCCCCCCCCCCTTTCCCCCCCTCTCTGGCCCTCACCTGCAGCGGGATGACGATGAGGATGACCTTCTTCTCCTTGTCCTGGAGGTACGGCTTCAGCACCGACCACCCGGTGCCGATCAGCACAATCACAGTGAACAGCATGATGCCCCGGAAGAAGCTGAACACGTAGAACGCAATGTTCCACCCCTGCGGGTCCCCCGTCGCCCGGATGTACGCATATTCCCCAGCCTGGGACAGCACTGTGAACGCCTTGAGCAGCACCAGCACCCCCATGAGGATGTGGATCCGGTGGGTTGTCGCCCAGTGCTTGTGGCACAAGTAGATCCAAATGATGCCGGCCACCATGTACGCGAGGTAGAAGGCGCTGTAGAGCAGGGGCAGCTGGGTCTTGCCGCCCGGGAGGTAGTCGATGCGGCCGCCGGGCGCGACGTTGTAGAGCGCGAAGGAGCAGTTGAGGGAGACGCGCGCGTGCGGCTGGCAGTTGGCAAAGAAGAGCGAGTACTCTCGGGCGTCGGGGACCGAGTAGCGGAAGGTGAAAAGGCTGTCTGGTCCCTGCTGCTGCGAGTAAACGTCCTGGAGGTGGGTGGGCATGGGTGGGGTGGGGTGAGGGAGAGTGGGCGGAGTGTAGGGGGAGGGAGGGGGAGAGGAGGTGCCGAAGGGATTTAAGATGGGGGTGTGGGAATGGAAAAACGGAGGGTGAAGAGACGGGGGGAAGGAAGAAGAGAAGGGAGAAGAGAAAGGAAGAAGGAAGGGGGATGGAGGACAGGAAGGGACGAATGAGAAGGAAAGGGAAGTAGCGGGGCGAGACTGGGCTGAATAGAGAGATAGAGTCAGGGTTTTGAACACAGACGGCCACCACGTGACGCCCCACCCACAGCACGACAGGATGTTGCACAGCATTCGTCCATCCTAGCACGGCAGATTCTCGAGATCCCCTGTGCCATAGTGAGGGGGTGTATAGAGTGAAACCGAGAGTGACGTCCTGGGACGTCAGCGGCCGCTTAGTGTGGTTACCACCTGTAACAACTACTGTAGACGCACTGTCAGTGTTCAGCGGAAAATAGGACGCATCCGAGCTGACGTCCCAGCACATTTTGCGCTGCCCAAAGCAATGCGCATGGGCAGGGGTCGAAAAAACAAACCCAAACATGCAGCGAAAGCAAGAACCAGCTCGCGAGAGAGGGATTTTCGCTCGGTGCAGCCACCTGTGCCGTGTGGTCTAGAATTGAATGCTATGTGCAATCTCTCGCCTTTTTCGCACGCTACAACAATATTTTATGCCATCCTTTTTGGTCACATCACGTCTCGGTATCGGCACCCTAAAAAAAGTTTCTGTCATGTTTCACATTTCGTCATTGTTCAATGTGCTTGTGTAGCCCTCGGAATAAGCAAATTTGACGTCGCGCGGACGTCGCCGAATGACGTCAAAATAGCTTATCGGGCATTGCCCGTTTACTTTATACACCCCCTAAGGGTGCATCAGGCACCCTTTCGGGCACGAACACCACCCCTGCCCCCGCCGCCGCCCTCCCAACAACAGGAGTAATCACACCTACATACCCTGTTCGCACAGCCGATACCCCCCTCAGTCCCATTCCTTGCTTCCCTTTTGCAACTCCAAGAGATTCGGCACAACAAACAGACCCATTCCTCCAACACAAGGCACGTAGGGCGCTCAGACAGATGACACACGTGCAGCGTGAAGAGCCTGCAGGTCGCGACTACCACACCGAGAGCACGAGCTTGCAGCATGAACAGGCGGTGCACGTGCGCGTTGGCGAGCACACAGAGCACCTTCAGAGCACCTTCAGAGCACCTTCAGAGCACCTTCCTTCAGAGCACCTTTTGGTCACCTGTACAAGCCACCTTCCGGTCACCCCACCCCACCAGCACCACAACCACAGCACGCAACACACGCACACGCGCAGCACCCGCGTGCAGCGTGAAAAGCCAGAGCACGCACTCCCAGAGCACATACCTGCAGCGTGAAGAGGCGGTGCACGTGCGTGTTGGCGAGCACGCAGTGGCCGGCCTGGAAGTCGTTCTGCAGCTCCAACTCATCCTCCGCCGTGGTCAGGAAGAACCCCATCAGCGTCTTGTCGGCCGGCGCGCCGTTCTCCGGCAGCAGCACCTCCACGGACGTCACGTTCATGTCCACGTGGCCGTTAGATTCGAACCCGAACGTGTCGAAGAGGACGATCGCGCGCTTGTCCGCCTCGAGCAGCGCGTCGGAGATCTCGCCGCGCGCGAAGGGGAGCGGGGAGACGACGAGGAGGAGGAGGAGGAGGAAGAGGAGGGAGGATGGGAGGGAGGAAGGGAGGAGGGAGAGGAGGCGAGGGAGGGAGGGGCGGGGAGGGGAGGAGGGACTGAGCGCAGCCATGGCGGATAAATTGCGGTCGTGGAAGATTCGGCGAAGAGGAAGGACGAGGAAGGAAGAGGAGGGAAGAGGAAGAGGAGGAAGTGGAGGAAGTGGAGGAAGTGGAGGACGAAACGAAAGAATGGCAGGGTGCGGCGTGCCGCGAGCGTATGCTGGGAATTGCAGCACGTGACACGTGCGAATGTGACTGTATGTGTGGTTGTGACCAGCTAATCGCCTGCTACAATATGCTAGGAGTCGCTAAGGACGCTACTAGATGTTGCTAGATGCTACTAAACTAACAAATCCCAGAAGCTTAGTAGCCCATCGCGTCAATCCCGCCGGTCGCGCCCGTCGCGCCGGTGGCACCTATCACTGTACGCGCCTGAAAGGTCAACGCGATCGTCCAAGAGGCGCGACCCGATTGTGTGACCGGAGTTAGTGCGCACACACGGCAACCTTTCAGAACTCGAAAAGCCGGGAAGACCTGTACTTGCTCCAACAAATCTCGGTTGAGTTTCGCTCCAACCTAAGTCACCTCCGATACCGTCGATTCTTCTCTCAAATGTCTCGGATCGTCTGCTACCTATTAGCAGTAGGGAAAGGTGTCAGGCGCTACCAAGCAGCACGCAGCACGCAGCACGCAGCACGCAGCACGCGCTAATCTCTGGGTCCAAGCAGGTATCAGAATCACGGTCGAGACGGGAGATACGAAGAAATCTCTGTGCTACACATTCAATCAGGAAATGCAACAACCTGAAGCACAGAAGATTGCCATTTGCTGTACTACTGTATACCAAGGAGGAGGGAGGGAGGGGACACATGAGGGGGAGGTGTCAGGGGCGATTCTGGGACATTTCTACAAGTTCCTTTCAAGTTCAGCATCGAGCTGTAGTGTTTGAACTGCTGGACCACATTCTGGTGCTGAATCACCTCACCACACCGTGCTGCACCGCCCTGCAACATGTTTTACCTTTTGGGACCTGTTTCCTAACAATATGTACCACATTGTCATTTCCCCCCTCCCCCCCCCTCCCCCCCAAAGCGAGTAATTTGCTGAGCTTGCTCAAACCTATTCAAGGCTGCAGAGTATTGCAGCAGAAGGTTTTTGTTATGAAGGAATCGCAAGCGAGCATAATCACATGTTCATTAGTTACCTTAGCAATGAGGCAGATATCGTACATATGCACTTCCTCAGGTGGCTGGAAACCTTCTAACCGCAACGGCGTATGCTATATCGCGTATGTTGTTTTGTCCTTCCGACCTCCCCAGATGCGAGGTTGCGTTGCGGTGCTCCTGGAGCAACGCCTCGATTTTGTCTCCAATTCCCAAGGCACGCGGCTCGGCATTACTTGCCCCTCCAGTCCCCCCCACAGCAGCCACCACCCAACAGCAGCTTGAGATGGAATCAAGGGATTCCCCTTCCCCCCCCCTAGCCTTGAGCTTGTCACAGGAAGACCACTCGGAGGGATCGTGAGCCAGCAAGGGGCCAATGCACGAGCATCAGCAGTGTGTGCCACCAAGAATGGCGTGGGACCAGCCCCAACGATAACCCATGCCAGCTCACGCTTTGCCCCACGCTGTCCCTGCCCCTCCTCACAGGAGGCATTCAGGAGTTCCCAGAGGCTGGTTTCTCTGCCAGCAATTCCCGAAGCTCTCAGGAGCAAGCAGCAGCAGGAGCAGGAGCAGCAACAAGCTTCCCCGTCAGGCTGACTCGTTGATTATCAGTTGTCATGACAAGGCAGGCTGCAGACACGGAATCCAAGTGTTAGGGCGACGGATAGAGTACGGTCCTCGGGCTTTGGAATGGGATTTTCCTTCTTCCGCGTCCGTGAATCCCACGGCGTGTCGTCGAAACGAACGCCTCGTGTAACTCCTACTACTAGTAGTAGTAGTAGGCACAGGTCTCATCATCGCCTAGGAGCGAAACCGCGCGGGTTGTACTGGCTGATTCGTCTGAGCAAGCAGATTCGGAAGCGATTCAGGGCGTTAGGCGACGGAAAGCGACGGTCGTCGGGGAGTAACGGTTACTACAGCCGGGATTCGTCCGCAGAGGAGAAGCAAGCACTGCTCAAAGCCAGCGAATCGGCGTCGACCTCATCAGGAACATCAACCCCCGCTTCAGCTACTAACGGATCGCACGCTCGCGACACGAGTCAAGAGAAGGGGATGGCGTTTATTTTTAAGGCCACGGGAAGAGATTTCAACCGCGCTCAGGCATCGCTGTCCGCTTCCAGCACGAAGAAAGGCGGCGACCTTTCACCGCATGGGAGCCCCGAGCAACCCCTTGCCGGTCAAGCGCTGGAATCTTCGCATCGTCTCCATTCCGGCGCCGCCAGCCGTACTCTCTCCCCGCACATCAAGCGCAGCGCATCCTCGTTATCAGGCTCCCCGTTAGCACCGAAATCGGGAGGCGGAGCATCGTCTGCTGTGACGGCCACCGTTGGACGGATAAAAAGTCCGTCAAGCGCAGCTGCAGCTGGAGTCGGCGGCGGTGGCGGCTCCGCATCGCCGTTTTCCCTGCGTCGACCAGCTCTGATTCGAAGCGGTAGCGCGGGAGGCGGCGCACGAGATCACGGCGCTAGTAGTACAGGAGGCTCGGAGAGGGACGGGAGTGGGACCACGGACAGCAGCGCCGGCAGTGGAATTATTACCGCTGCTGATATCTTCGCGTCCCGCGCTACTGCGTCTACAATCACCAGGCACAAGGGATCACTGCATGGCGGTCAGAGCCACTCCCCCCACCACTACCGACAAGATAGCCGTCGAGGACACGAGCACTTAACTAGACACCGGCAGCAGAAGTCCATGGACGACGGAGAAGTGCTGGCTTCCCGTCACGGTTTCCGTCACGATTTCCGTCAAGGCATCGCGCCAGGCGTCAGTCACACCAGCCACCACACGATCCAGCGTCCAGGAGGAGCGGCAGGGGCGAGCAAATCGGCCCACAGAGCAGCTGACGTGGCAGCGGCGGCGGACGCCGCCTCCAGCGCTGGATCGGTCGCTTCTGACTCATCCGACGTCAGCGCTCCAGCCTCTGAGTCAGCCGCTAGTCGTCGCCGCGGCCATGCGAGCTCGCGTCAGAACCCGACGGACGGTCGTCGAAACCCGATGGACGGCCGTCATAACTTCCCGTCATCGTCGTCCCTATGGAGGTCGCCGTCAGCGTCGTTTACGTCTCCTCCTGCATCCGTTACATCCGCTACAGCTGCTTCAGCCGCTACAGCCGCTACATCTGCGAAGGAACGACGAGGCGAGGTGGCCGGCTCACCGTTACCTTCGAGAACGCCTCACCAAGTAGCAGCCCGTGCGATGATGTTGCGACGCTCACGAAGCTTCTCCATGTTCTCGCGCCCCGATGCTGCTGCTGCTGCGACCCGTGCAACTGGTGCGACAGGTGCGGCTGCTGCGACTTACGCGACTGCTGCGACTTCTGCGACGCCGGCTGCGACTTTCGCGACTGCTGCGACGTCTGCGATCGCGGGAGCTAGCTGGGTGGCTAGCGGCACCAGTGTTGCAGATTCCTCACCCAGCAGTGCTTCTGCGCCCGCCTCTGGCGGTAGTACTATTAGAAGTAGTAAGCGGAGCGAGAGGATTGGCGGAGAGCAAAGCATCATGAACGAGCGGGGCAAGCTGCTACGAAGCCAGAGCGTGGAGGGGAGTTGCAGCCCGGGGTACCAGAGAAGCAAGAGTGTGAGCGACAGCAACGCGGTGGGTGGCCGGACGGGCGGCACGAGCAGCAAGAGCAGCAGGGTCAGGGGGGGCCGTCCGCGATACGGCGCTTCTCTGTACGGGCAACAGTACCAGCAGCAGCATCTAGACGCGACGTCTTCGGCCGGCAGTGCAGCGGCCTTTGCGCGCCGAGATGGTTCCGCGAGTGCTACTCGTTCTGCTCGCACAGCTAGAACCGGTGGTGTGGGTTACGGTGGGAGTGGAAACCACGGCACTACGCCTGCTATGAGCCGCTCGGCACTCGCGAGGTCGCGATCGGGATTGGGTAACACGGTGTTTCGCCGACTGTCGTTCTCGTGGGAGGGGGGCGGGGGAGATGGAGAGGGTCGCGGGCAGGCCGCCGACGGGTATAGCGAGGAGGAGGAGGGGGAAGAGGAGAGGGAGGAAGAGGAAGGAGAGGAGGAGGGGGAAGAGGAGAGGGAGGAAGAGGAAGGAGAGGAGGAGGGGGTGGAGGAGGGTACGGGAGGAGTCACTGCGAGGACGGCGACCGCCATTGTTCCTTCGGATAATGATCATGGGCTACATGGCGCGGGACGGGTGAGTGGGAAGCGCGCGGAAAACGCGACAAGTGCAGATGCTACCTTTTTGGGTTTCTAAACCCGTCTCAGAAGCCTTTTCCTAGTGTGAACCAGTGCCTGTCCCCTTCCCTTAGCTTCGTTGCGTCGTCGTTTCGCTGCGTCGTAGCGCCATCGTCTGATTGCGGACTACTAGTCGTCGTACTGCGGCTTACGGGTCGTGCTGTGCGGTGATCATGCGATGCGATGCAGGTGCCACGACGCGAGACGGCGCCGCCGCAGCGTGGGGTGGCAGTGGACTGCCAGTGGTGGGACAAGATCCGACACGAGGTGAGCTCTTCCACACGAGGTGAGCTCTTCCACACGAGGTGAGCTCTTCGACACGAGGCGAGCTCTTCGACACGAGGTGAGCTCTTCGACACGAGGTGAGCTCTTCGACACGAGGTGAGCTGGGACAGGGGGCTCAGTAAGGGTGAGTGAGTTGACCGAGTAGTTTTTCCTGGGTTTAGACAGGAGCACCTGAAGGAGCCGCGTATTTTTCTCTACAAACTACCTCGAAGGATTGCGTTCTTCTGAACTTTTGACCCGTCGTTTCCGTTCCATTCCGCCTGCCTTTGCGGCTGCAGCTGGACGCCCTGCGCGCGCTGGTGGAGCAATCTTCCATGACCGCCACAGGCCATCACCGAGCTGCTGCTGCTGCTGCCGCTGCTCCTCCGCAAGGCACGTCAGCAGGAATCCGAGGGGAAGGCAAGGGGCGAGCAGCAGGGCTGCTTGGTGGTGGTGGTGGTGGTGTTGTTGGTGCAGCTGTTGGGGCGCTTGCGTGGCTGGAGCGTGCGAGGCGCGAGTTGGAGGGCATTGCGGGAGGGCAAAGCGGAGGACGTGGCGTGGACTCCGCTGAGGGAAGAGATGCCGAGGTACACATACACTCATAAAACGTACACCGCTTAGCATATAACATGGTATGCCCAAGTCACTCCCTCTATTGAATGTTATGTACCAAGAGCAAAACTTCTCTAATTTTTTTTTTCTTTGCACCATTGATACCAGCTTGCAACCGAACTGCAAGAATTCAATTCTGAGAGGCGCCGCTGCACTGCCAGAACGAGCAACAGCAGCACCACAAGCGGCACTGCCGAATGCATCTCTTCAACAAGCGCCAGTGCCAGTAGCTCCTTTGGTGGAACAACCGACACTACAGCTACGGATAATGATGTCACTGGCAATGGCATTGGCGAAGCAGGGGGGGAGCTCGGTGAAAGCGTGGAAGCTGGAATCATGAATCTCCTTACAACACAGTCCACTCAGGTATTAATGGATGCGTTGTAGTTTTGATTCAGTCCAATTGTGGCATGCTGTGCATGTTGTGAGCCTGCACCAGGCAGCAATGTGGCTGCACCAAATAACACGTTGCATCCGACGGGGAACAATTCGGCCGTGCTCGTTCTCCCACCCCCTTTTCCGACACCCCTCGTTCTACCAAACCCCCCCCCCCCCCCCCCCCCCCCTCCCCCCTCCTATCGCCGCCCACTTTCAGTTCACGCGCCTGCCAGCCTTCACCTGGGACGCCCTTGTGGAAGGCTCCTCCGGTGTTGTCATGGGGAGGCGGGCCATCCGCATTCAGCAGCAGCAGAGCCAGGCCAACAGGAATGGTCGATTCCTCTTCCCAGGGCAAAAAGCCTGGCAGCATCCCAAGGAGCTCCAGCAGCAGCAGCAGCAGTGGGGCAAGCAGTCTGAGAGAAGTCCCATACCTAGCAGGCCTGGGGTTGGTCGTTCTGCTCTCGGAGATCTGATTCTTGTGGAGTCAGGCCCAGCGGAGGAGAGCGAGCTTGGCATTGACATTGACGTTGGGAGTCCTGGGAGTCCTTGCAGCAGCAGTGGCAGAAGCAGAGCCAACAGCGCCAACAGCAGCAGCAGTGACACAGATAGTGATGGCCCTTCGCACCTGAGTTCCCCTGAAGTCTCTCCTCACAGGATGCCTGCGCATGGCCCAGCAGATGATGCAGCAGCAGAAGGGGCGAAGGAAGCAGGAAAATCTGCAGCAGAAGCCAGTGCCTCAGTGCAAGTCGCCGCCCTCCACCACGCCACACAGCAGCTCCCTGCCAGGGCCCATCCGGCAGATATGACCACTCCAGCGTCCCTTCCACCACGTGATGCCCTAGCACACGGCCCTACTTCTGTGGCTTCAGCTGTGGCTCCTGCTGTGGTTACTCCAGCAGGGATGCCGCCAGCAGGGGGGTGGCTGGGAAGACCCAGAGGGAAACCAAGGGCGGCTGGTTGGAGCAGTGTGAGGGCAGCAGCAGGAGGAGGAGGGGTCAGATCAGGGGAGGTTGTTCTAGTGAAGGGGCAATGGGAGCACTGGGAGAATCACATGGTGGTGAGTTGATTGGCTAATCTGACTGTCCATCCCTGGACCTGCAACTTAACATGCCTCTTCCTTGCCGCTTGTAGGGATCTGATCTTTGTTTCGGTAAGTGCTGAACTCGTTATAGTTAATGCGTTATGTGCTCCATCCTCCCCACCAACTCTCGCCCTCATGACTGCTCTCCTCCCACCATTACTGTTTCTCCCCTGTCCCTTGTCTTTGTTCCCGTCCCTTGCCTTCCTCCGACCAACAACGAGCAGCGGTTCTGGGCGCGAGAGAGGGGGTACCTGCACATGCTGGGCCTTCCATCCTCCCACCAAGCTGCTGCCACGTGGCAAGCACCAGGTGCAAGTTGCATCAGTGAGGCTGATGACGAGGCGAAGGAGAGGGAATCTAGTGTGTCTGCTGAGACGCGAGGCTCGGGCTGTGGCTTCGGTTGCAGCTATGGCTCTGGAGCTGCTGGTGGTAGCAGAGCTGGCGCTGATGGCGGTGGTGGCGCCCCTGCTTCTGCCACTGCTGCTGCTGCTGCTGCTGCTGCTGCTGCTGCTGCTGCTGCTGCTGCTGCTGCTGTTGCTGCTGCTGCTGTTGCTGCTGCTGCTGCTGCTGACACTGACGCTGCTGATACTGATGCTGGTGTGAATGCTAATGTGGATGCTGCTTCTAGAGCTAGAGGGCCAAGCCACAGTGCTGCCATTCCCAGTCCCATGAATGTACCTCACCGCCCTCTGTCATCCTCGTTTTGCGCCCTCCCTCCTCCGCCTCCACCCCCGCCTCCTCCCCCCAATCATCTTCAACAGCAGCTGCAGCAGCAGCAGAATAGCATGCCATCTCATGTCACCTCGCGCACCCCTACCCTCCGCCCGTCCATTGCTGTGACCTCACTGCTGCACCCAGCTGTGCACCACTTGAGGCTCGCAGGTGCCAGCCGTGTGCAGGGAGTAACTGCTGGTGCTTCTGCTGCTGCTGGTACTGCTGGTGCGGCTGTTGGTGGTGGTGGTAGTTCTGGTTCTGCTGGTGCTGCTGTTGCGAGGAATAATCCCACTGCTGCTGCGAATTCTCCTTCAACAGCAGCCACCGCAGTAACTGCCGCAGCAGTGCTTCCTTCCGCGCACGCCACAGTGGGACGACAGGAGGAGTGTGATGATTCGGAGACGAGGAAGAGGCAGGGTGGGAGGGGAAGGGAGAGGGAGAGGGAAAGGTTGTGGGTGGGAGGAAATCAGCGGGAGAGGGAGAGGGAGAGGGAGAGGGAGAGGGAGAGGGAGAGGGAGAGGGAGAGGGAGAGGGATGTGTGGGATTTGAAGCTCTATGCCCCTCGTTTCAACCCCCTCTTTGAACCCAATAGCAGCTCCTGGGAGGATGGTCAGAGCAGCGGCAGCCGACACAGCACAGCTAAAAGTATGGATGTGGGAGAGGGGCAAGAGCAGGAACAGGGGAGTGCACAGGCACCAGGGCAGGACCAGGGGCAGGGGCAGGGGCAGGGGCAGGGGCAGGGGCAGGGGCAGGGGCAGGGGCAGGGGCAGGGGCAGGGGCAGGGGCGTAGGCGTTCAAGTAGAGGTATTGGAGCACTTGGGAGGAGGAGGAGGCAAATGGAGAGTGGAGGGCCGTGGAAAGGAAGCAGAAGTGGCGGTGGATTTCAGAATGAGGATAGGAATGGGGCTACTGATGAGGGTGGGGCTGACGAAGAGGACAGGGATATCGGCAGCAGCAGCAGCAGTAGCAGCAGCAGCTCCGGCAGCAGCAGCAGAACAAGCGTCAGCAGCAGCAAAGTTGGCGGTGCGTTTGCAAGGGGTGGTGCAAGGAGGGCAGCATGCAGGGAGAGACGACGGCTTGTGGTGCAAGGGCTGACGCGGCTGAAGAAGAAGAATCCAAGGGCGGCCCTGCTGATAGGAAGGAGGAGCGGGGTTTTGAAGGGCACTGAGTCCGAAGCTGGGCCTGTTGAAGAGTCTGAATCGGGAGGAGTTACCAGCACGAGCACGTGTGTTGAGGGTGAGAGGAGAAGCGATGGGAGTGATGCTACTAGAAGTAGTGTGGTGATGGGAAGGTGGGAAAGTGGGTTGGGTGAGGAAACGGGGAGCGAGGGAGAGAGGTTGGAGGCAGAAAACATTGGTGGGGGGAACCTGCGGGAGGAGGGAGGGGAAGGAGAGGGGCAGTTGGCAGCAGGCCAAGACGGCTTAGAGGAGCCGGATGGGGCTGATGAGGAGGAGAGTTGTGGGCAAGGGCAGCAGAGGCACGTGCAGGAGCAGCCTGGATCTGGGCGTGAGGTACCAGTTGCAGCACTTGAAGGTGCAGCAAGGGGTGCTGTGGAGGAAGATGATGGGAGGGAAGGAGCCAGCCGGGAGGGGGACAATGAGGGAGAGGGCTTGGGGTTGGCGAGCAGGGGGAGTGAGGTGGTTGTGTTGGGGAGTGGGGAGGGAGGGGATGGGAGGGACGGAGGAGGGAGCAGAGGGGATGGCGTGAGGGGGGATACGATGGTTAATAGCATGGTGCAGGGAAGGATGAGGCGTGGCAGTGGCGGTGCAAGTGGTGGGAGTTTCAGGAGCGGATACGATGCTAGTGGCATCATGGTAAGTACCGCCCTTTGTGCTTTTTGAGAATTCCGGAAAACCAGCTCACCCCTAGTCTGCACCCCTGCAGGTTTACCCTCTGTGGGGATTGCACGACTTTCGACAAATGACTTACACACGTTATGAATCGCTAGCAATGAATGTAGTCTGGTGACTTTTGAGTCCAATCAGAAGTCTCTTTTGAGTCGACTCGACTTTGGAGGTGACTTTTGAGTCGACTCAAAAGCCACCTCGTTATAATGTCACACAACACTTTTGAGTCGACGCAAAAGTCACCTGGTGACTTTTGAGTCCAATCAGAAGTCTCTTCCCTCCTTGATTTCTCCCTCAACGCCCTTCCTCCTCTCCACTCCTGCAGACTCTTATTCCGCTCCCTACCCGCGCACTCCCAGTCCCTCTAAAAACTCCCGCTTACCCTTCCCCCTATTTTTCCCCTCTCCTTCTCCCCTCCCCCCCTCCCCTATTCTGTCTCCCCGCCCCCTCCCTCCCTCCCAGCTGTTGGCACACGTGCGGGTGCCCTTCTCCCCGCTGCATATCATCCTGCTTGTCACCATCAAACACCACTTCCCTTCCCACGCCCTCCCAACCCCCCCCCCCCCCCTCCTCCACCTTTCTCCCTCCCCTCTTCCCTCCCCCCCACCACAGCTCTTGGCGCACGTGCGGGTGCCTTTCTCCCCGCTGCACCTCGTCCTGCTCGTCACGCGCCCCTCGCTGCTGGGCCGGTGGCTCGCTGCGCTCTCAGGGATCTTCTGGGGCCGAAGGGGGTGGCGCCTGGGGGGAGGGGGGGAGGGCAGGCGAGGGGAGAGGGGAAGGGCGGAAGGGGGTGGTGAAGACATGGGGAGGGAGGGAGGGGACGATAGATGTCAACTGCTCTTGACAAATGGTGGGAGGATATTGATTTTAGCCCTCCTTTATTGCTTTCTTGTACCGTCTTTCATCCCTCCCCTCGCACCTCCCAACCGCTTTTCTCTTCCTCCTTTTTCGTTGCTCTTTTGTATCGTTGGACCCGCTTTATTTCTCACATGGAATCTTGGCTCCTCTACGATAATCACTGCATTTCTCATGTGGGGTTCAGAGCTGATGCTTCGTGCTATAGGAGAGCAGCGCAGAGCATTGTTCTGGTTCCCTCTTAACCCCTTTCTCAACACCCATTGCCCGTATCTCCGTCCCCAGGGACAAGCACACCTCCAGTGGCACAGCCGGCCGAGCAAGTGGAAGGGCGGATTGAGGGAGCGAGGGAGGGCGATAGCGAAGAAGAGAGCGAGGGAGTGACAGAGGGACGTACATATGGGGAGCAGCAAGAGGAGCTCCAAGAGCCTCACCTGCAGCCGCCTCTTCCGGCGTTTCCTCCTCCCATCCCACCCATTCCCTCATCTCCCATACCGTCTCTCCCTACAACCGCTGCCACCGCGCTCACAGACCAACCCAGCATTGGTATCAGCGGTTTTGCCTTGAGCCCCACCTTGGCTGTGGATGTAGGTGAATCTCCTGTGGCTGTCTCACACACCCCACCTCCTCCACCACCTCATCTCTCACCATCACCACCACCATCACTCGCACTGTTGGCACCACCAGCAGCGGCAACAGCAGGTGCAGCACCGCCATCACGACCAGTCCGACCATCGCATAACTGCCCTGAAATCGAATCAGTTTATGAGCAGCAGCAGCAGCAGCAGCAGCAGCAGCAGCAGCAGCAGCAGCAGCAGCAGCAGCAGCAGCAGCAGCAGCAGCAGCAGCAGCAGCAGCAGCAGCAGCAGCAGCAGCAGCAGCAGCAGCAGCAGCAGCAGCAGCAGCAGCAGCAGCAGCAGCAGCAGCAGCAGCAGCAGCAGCAGCAGCAGCAGCAGCAGCAGCAGCAGCAGCAGCAGCAGCAGCAGCAGCAGCAGCAGCAGCAGCAGCAGCAGCAGCAGCAGCAGCAGCAGCAGCAGCAGCAGCAGCAGCAGCAGCAGCAGCAGCAGCAGCAGCAGCAGCAGCAGCAGCAGCAGCAGCAGAGAAATCTCCGCCCGTACTCTCCACCCTCCCTGGCTCTACCCACCCGCGCATCATTCCACCCCCTCCCCCACCTGCCGATCATCCTGCCTGCATCCTCCTCCTTATCCTCCACCGCCCCCCACGTGGGCTTGGCAGAGCACCTGTCGGTGCTAGCGTGGGAGCGCGTGCTGGCAGCCGTGGCGGAGGGCCGGCGCGTGGATGCGGCTCTCTGGATGACCTGCCAGGTGCTCGTTGCGGCTGGCCTTGCTGCTGGCTCCGTGCTCAGCAGGTGAGGGAGAATACGGGGGGGGAAGGGGGGGGGGGGGGGGCGGCTAGGAAGGAGGAGGATGGAAGGGGGTGGGGGGAAGAAGCAATAGTATGCATCGTTGTTACACGTACAACATGACAGGTGGGAGAAGAACCTGCTGTGGTTGGTGTCACAAAATGTTGAGGAGTGTGGGCGTTGCATGATGGTCTATGTGTGTCCAGATTCCTTCATCTGTACTTTGTTGGGCGCCCTCACCATCCCCTCACCTTTCTCACTCCCCCTCCGCACTTCCTCCTTGCTTCCTTTCCCGACCTGACTCTGTCACCCCCTTAACCCTTTCTCATCAGGTACTTTCCATCCCAGTGGTAGCGCCCCAAGCTGTTGGATACTTGGAAGGACGAGAATGGTAGCGGCGGGGAACGGTGCGGGGACAGATGGGATTTTTCATTGTGAAATCATGAGCTTTGAAGAAAAGTAGACTGAGACGAGCTTTGCTACATCACAAACTTGGAAGTATTTGGAGACGTGAGCAGCTTGTTGAATGACATGTTGGGGTTGTCCTTATACATATAGATATAGGAGATCTTATACTGTGCTGCATGTGTACTGTTGCAAATTTATAATGAAGCGCAAAGAGCGTGTCTCGAATAATTGAGTAGCGAGGAAACAATGCAATGCGGCAAACATCAAAACAACAAGGAGTATGGATATATCTAAGCCTAGAGCACACGGCTGAGGCTCGGCAGAGCTGAGACGCGTGGTTCATAAATTGGCGTGCAGTGTTAAATTGCATATGTTATATATAATTGTAGGCTTGGTAGTTGTTACTGAAACCTACTATAGAGGGTACAACCCCCCTCCTTGTATCCCTCTTTCTAATCTCGACCCTCTTTCCACTCGATACTTTTCCTCCTAGCCTAAAATCCTCTCGCCATAGCCATGGCTTCTCTCCTTACCTAGCTATTTTAACATGGTATCAGAGTAGGTTGCCCTTCCCAGGTCTGCTCCCCACGCTTCCGCCGCGTACTCGTACTTCAGTCGTCCTTTCCGCGCCACTGCCACGGCCATGTCGTGCTGCCGTGACGGCGCCGTCGTCGTGCTGCCGAGGCGGCGTCTACGCGCCAGCGCGCGTATGGCACGCCCGGCAGCAGCCAGCGCCCGGTCTTAGCACTGGCCAGCATGCCTGCCAGTGCGCCACATGGGGCGACACGCCCCCGGGCTCCGCTGCTGAAGCCCCGCCCCCTTCCCCTGCATCCCCTCTTCCTCGCCGCAGCCGACGGCTGACTCCCGCTGGCCGTCCCACCGTCGCGGAGCCCGGCCACTTCGCCGAGTGCTGCGAGCTCCGGTGCCGCTGACAGCTGTCGTCTAGGCCGCCGCCGCTGCAGCTGGTGCCGCTGGCCACACCGCCACACGCCGCCGCCGCTGTCGACGCTGCCGCCGTCGCCGCGGTTGCAGCCGCTGTCCTCACTGTGGACGTCGCCGCCTCACGCGCTGAGGGGTTGACCAAGCTGGAGTAGCTGTCGCTGCTGCTGAGGATGGGGGTGCTATGCTTAGTGTGCTGTGTGTGTGGTGTGCTTTCGGCTACCATGCCGAGTGGGTGTGTTAAATTATATATGTTATATATAATTGTAGACTTGGTAGTTGTTACTGAAACCTACTGTAGAGGGTACAACCCCCCTCCTTGTATCCCTCTCCCTTCTAATCTCGACCCTCTTTCCTCTTGATACTTTTCCTCCTAGCCTAAAACCCTCTCGCCATAGCCATGGCTTCTCTCCTTACCTAGCTACTTTAACACGCATCGCCCAGATCTGGGCATGAAACAGCAAGGCGGGCAAAATGCATGCGGCTCGTCAGGAGACAACATTTTCTTGAAGTATACTCGGTAGAGTTACCATTTATGCATTCCTGATGTTATACCTAGACTGTACTGGTAGCGCGATACCTCATATGGAAGGATGCGCGTGATGATGTCAGCAGGAGCAGGTCAACGCGTGAACTGTAGGTTCGCGCGTAATAGTCACCTGAAGGGTGACGTGATTCTCAAACATACGAATAGTCACTATTCATGTTACGCATTCAATCGCAATACACTACGAACAGGTACATCCCGAATAGGTACTTTCTAGAATATAAATATGCCAGTATTACTCATTACTATTATCCAATACAAGGTGTAAGATCCTCCGTTGACCTTTAATCTAGTTCGAATAGCTCTAGATCCTGGCCACCCTAAACTCGTGGTTCGTGTCAACAGGGTATTCTGAGCAAGTAGATTTACAGGTGTTAAATTATATATAATTGTAGGTTTGGTAGCCATTACTGAATCCTGTTGTAGAGGGTACAACTCCCTCCTTGTATCCCTCTCTCTTCTAATCTCGACCTCTTTCCTCTCGTAATTTTCGTACCCCTAAACCTTGATGGCCTTCTATGCCTACTAGGCCTTTACCTATTCTGAGATGGTATCAGAGTAGGTTGCCCCTCCCGGGCATGCTCCCCACGCTTCCGCCGCGTACTCGCCCTTCTCTCGTCACCTCCGTGCCGCCGTGGCGGCCATGCCGAGCTGCCATGGCGGCTTCGTCGTGATGCCGTCGCAGCCCCGATGCGCTGTCGTGGCGTCGACGCCACGCCGTGGCGACATCGTCGTTCTACTGTGGCAGCGTCGGCGTGCCGCCGTGGCATCGACGCCGCGTTGTGGCGGCGTCGTCATGCTGCCGTGGTGGCGTCGACGGGCGGCAGCGAGCCGCGCAACGTTTTAGGCGCCTCCAGCTCGCCCACACGCCAGCTAGCGCCGCGCATTGCTGGACTACACCGCCCTCCCCCCCTGCGTCTCCTCTTCCTCCTGTTGCAACTCCTAACTCCTACCCGGTCGTCGCCAGGCCGTGACACACCGCCGAGAGCCCTCAGCCGCGGCCGTTGCCTTTGCTGCCTCTCGCCGGGGGATGTCACCACGTCGCGCACGAGGGGTAGATGCCTGACTGCTTACGAGCATGGGGGTGTGAAGTGTTGGGTGGGCTTGCGACTACCAAGTCTAAGGGGTGTGTTAAATTATATATGTTATATATAATTATAGGTTTGGTAGCTGTTACTGAATCCTACTGTACAAGGTACACCTTGTATCCCCCTCTCTTCTAATCTCGAATCTCTTTTCTCTCGTCACATTTTCTACCTCCTAAAACATCTCGTCATTGTACCCTCTAAAGTAGGATTGAGTAACAGCTACCAAGCCTACAATTATATATAAGTTACATAATTTACCAACACGAATCGATACAAGCTGATTTCGATTATGCCTTTAAGCTTAAGTTAGAGATCTATACTTGCGTGAGCTGCTAAGATAGGAAATTTAACTACGAATTCACCTAGTTCTGGTCTATCTACTGACGACCTATCTGACTTCGCTTCCTTGATGGCTAATCAATCTACTCAGTAACAACAACAAGCTCCAGCACATCCTACAGCTTCCATGTGCCTTGATAACTCCAGTTATGCAATTGCGGCTGTCGCTGCTAGACCTTCAGCCCCTAGAGATGAATTAGCTAGGTCGTTTGCGTTCTATGGGCAACCTGCTCAACCACAGCAACAACAACAACCACAGCAGCAACAACATCAAGTGGATGATGACCACATCATTTGCTGCTCAAGCGATCATAAATCAAGTGGATTTCCTATCTCCAAGCTGAAGACCTCAACTTACTTTGATGGCCGTGACTTCTATACTTCTGCCTCCCATCCCGAGTTTCAAATTCGCATGTGTGGCTTTGAATGTGTGTGAAAGAATTTGTGTGTGATGTGTTATGGAGTTTGTGAATGAGTTTTGTGTTATTTTGTTTGAGCAGGTATTTGAAATACTGTAATAGATCTTGAGAAGATCTTTCTGACGCAATAAGAATCGCTTCAATCGGAGCAAGAACGCGAAAGCTATAAAGATTCAAAGTTCATGAGTTTGCGTTACAATTGCGGCAGCTACAAAGTGAAGTTGTGGGGTGACACAATAAGGAGTTGGGACCATTGGGGGTTGGGGAAATTTGTCACTCCACTGTAGCAGCTGCAAAATTGGTTAGGAACAACCAAGCTAGGTTGGCAAGTGTGGCCAACTTGGTTGGATTGGTTGGGAAGGGACAAATGTCAAAGTTGGGGTTCCTATAGGGAGGGAACTTTGTGGCTCTAATTCCTTGTGAACTTCTTGAACCTTGATTGAAGTTTTTTTAGATTGAGTTAAGTTCTTCTCCTACAACATACCCCTTAATGCGTCGAAATTCATAACGTTACGAATACTCCATCAATCAAAATGATACAAATTGAGAACGGTATTTAACATTGAGAGCTACAACATATCCGAGTTTCGCGACATTCCAATGGTTAGTGTTTTGTCAGCGACGCTTCTTGTGGGCACGACTTTTCTGTCCAGAATTTCGGAATTATATTTTGAGTTATTCTAGCCCCCTCGTTTACCTAGACCCCGTCCTTAATCCTAACAAGATGGACCAATTCAAGGAGAGCAAACAAGAGGTGGACCACGTCAATGGGAGCAGACAAGAACAGAAAGGAAGGGCTTTTGCAAGTTCTGCAAACGAGCAGGTTATTATATTGAAGAGTGTCAGGAACTGAAGAACAGGAATTGGGAGAAGTCGCGTGAAGCCGCCCCTGTCAAGACATCTCGCCGCCTTCAGCTTCTTCAACTCAACCTATAAAAGGCAAAGCAATAATTAATTGCATGATTGGACCACACTGGTCTAGCGGCGTATGTTACTGGAGACGCGACAATGGAGACAATGACACCGACATGGATGAAGGACCCGATGACTTACCTCCGCGCCTTCGCCCTCGTTTAGAAACTCCAAAACCAGCAGTCGTACATGAAGAAGAACCATCGTAGCCTAACAGCTTACCTCGACGAGTGAACGTGCAGCCGTACGCCAACATCGCCAAGCGGGCGTATCTCGAGCATGTTAAGACATGGTTTCTTAACAGCTGTTGCGGGCATCATATGTCTTCTTCAAGTCGTTATCTTCTTAACTGGAGAGACTTGCCAAAATGAGAGAAGTACAACATCACCGTAATCAACAATCAAGCCATTGAAGCAACCAAAATTGGCAATGTGATGCTAGAGTCCGACGAGACAGAAGTTTCGCTTCACCTTAACAAGGTTCTCATCGCCACGAGACTCGGGTTCAACCTACTATCACAAGCGCAGCTGATGGAAAGCAGCATCTGCTTCGTCATTACCGCCAACACAATGCTCACCGAGTTGTACCCGAGCGACAAGAAGGAAGACAAAAGTAATCTAGTCGGCATCGCAGAAATAGAAAATGGTGTTTCCGCTTACAGTTCCCACCTGTAAGAGGATCTGGCGACAGTGAGAAGACGTCTCACTTGCTCCTTTGCACCATCACTGAGATACGGATTGCCAACGCCAAGACCATCGTGGTCTCAACGTCTTCTACGTCACGCCTCAGCCTTCTCACACCAACTCCGTCGACGAAGCTACTGCAGAAATAGCAGAAGCTGCCTCAGCAGCAGCAGAAACAGGTCAGGCCACATTGGCATATGGAGACGGCAACTGGGGTCACAAGAATCAAGAACCTAGATCTGCTATAGTCGAAGAGCCTACGGAGGTTGAACGCATATGGGGAAAGAAATAATTGATCATACTTGACTCTTGGGCGCGTCATCGACACCTTGACATACCTTGGGCTGAAACCGCAGAAGAAGCCGGCTTCCTCCAGCCCTTTGGCCCCAGTCGCTGCGTTAATCTTGCGCTAGCGATTCATATTTCGCCGACCTTCTTCCGTCATTCCGATTCGTACCTGTGTTCAAAGGGACTCATGACTACGGCAGAAACCTGGCACAAGCTGTTAGGTCATCCATCGCAACAAGCTCTTAAAAACTCGAATAAAGCCTCGATTTTCGACATGGACGCTCTCCTTTTAACCAATGGCAAAAAACTTCGACCTAACAATCGCCAACCACCCTGCACCATCAGCCCCGATGCCCATTTGAGTCACGCTCCGTTCCCGTCACACTTCCCAAGTGCTATTCAATACTCACCGCTGGACGTCGTTTTTAGTGACATCCTCTTCATGCCGCAGGAAGCAGAGGATATCAGCGATAACGACTATTATTATATAATTACCTTAATCAACAATGCTACTCGATATGTCCGGCACAAGAATATCTCTCAGAAGTCCGAAGCTCTCGACACCTTCAGGCTATGGTTGAAAATCGCGGAGCGGCAAAGCGACATCAAGCTAAAAGAGATCTAGACTCACAATGCGGGCGAGTACACTAGCGAGCAGTTCGATGAATTCCTGGCGCGGAAAGGGATTCTTAGGCTCAAGACTGTGCCTTACGCCTATGAGCAGAATTGAGTACTTGAGAGGACGAACAGAACACTGCAAGAGAAGATGCGCGTGCTGCTGCAATAATCCAGCTTGACAGCGGACTCTTGGCCGTTTGCGATGGCGCTCTGTCAGACTGCACAATTGTCTGTCTTCAACTACTCTACCTTAGTTCAACTCGCCACACGTCATGTGGACAAAACACCCCGCCAACACTCGACTTTTACGAGTTTGGGGCTGCATGGTCCAATACCAACCTCCGTACGCAACCGTGGGCAGGTTTACTGAACGGGCTCGATAAATAATACACCTTGGTGTACCCAAGGATTCCTACTCCTGGATAATTATGGATTATGAAACCTGAAAGGTTTTGTATGCCCGAGACTGCATCTTCCACGAGATTTTTTTTCTCAATGACTTCAAACACAACAAAGAACGCCAGCAACGGGATCCTGATCGCTACAGTGCAAATGGAGTATCGCCACCACTCAAGACGAAGTGGATGCAGCCGAAGAATATTATCCGCCCAACAGCATAGCAGCACGACCACCTACAGTTCCGCAACAGTCTACGTCAGTAGCCGAACCATTGTTCGACTCCTACATTCCTTCGACACGTGCGAACAACACAGACACTCCACTCTTCATTCCCCTCTCGGATCCGTTGCGTCCTGCCATGAAATAGGCTACTTATAATTATGAGGAGCACCTGCGCCAACACAAAACTGACGCGACATCACATGATGGCGCCCACTATTTGCCATTCGAAATTGACGACGATGACGTCGTCGAAGTTTGCCAACAACATCCTCATGGTGACTAATCGGATCTTCAAATCCTCGGCCTTGCTGTCGTAGTTCAGCAACCAACGGCTAGGATCAAGCGAAAAACAGTCAAGCAGGCCCTTTTCGGCTCTGATGATGATAATTGGCGAGCATCTATGGATGCAGATGTAGCAGCTCTCGAGAAGCGGAAAACGTGGAAACTCGTTCCACGCGAAGCAACACACGGCAAGAAAATCCTTTCGGGCAAGTGGGTCTTTCACATAAAGTCAAACACAGCAGGTGAACCAGATAGATTCAAGAGTAGATGGGTCATTCGAGGTTTCGAACAAATCCATGGCATGGACTACGACCAGACTTCTGCTCCGTTTAGCCGCCATACCTCTGTTCGAATTCTTCTCGCCGTTGCTGCACTCCGCCATCAGCCACTTCGCCAATGGGACGTTAAAAAAATGTGTTTTTATACGTAGTCGTTGATGCATATATTTTTGTCAAACTCCCTCACACTTATGGCGACGGACTCCATGTCTGCAAGTTACTTAAATCTCTCTACAGCATCAAATAGGCTCCTCGCCTGGTGCAGCAACATCTTCACAAAGTTCTACTTTCACTTGACCTCGTGTACCTGCCCTACGACCCTAGAATGTACAGACTCGAATTTTGGGGACAATTCATTCTTCTAGTCGCCTATGTGGATGAATTAGTATACAACTACTCGTGCAACCATTTTCTAGTGCGCATGGAAACAAGAATCCAAGAGATTCTTAATGTTACTATTTCCCCCACAATTACCCAATTCCTTGGGTTAAACGTTGACCGCGGCCCCGATGCCATCTATTTTTCTACAAGCAAGTACGCATAACACTTGCGAAAAAGTTTGCCATCGCTCCCATCGGCCTCAACACTCCTTTTCGTCACATTCCAGCCCACCCCACACCTAAAGCTATCCCACATACCACCTCCGAGCATCAGGTTTACTAGCAGCAGCTCGGGTGTCTTCTATTTGCAGGCGTTACATGCAGCCCAGATCTTGCCTACATCATGAGTCAGCTTGTACAATACCTACGCCGACTTGAAGGGGAGAATATGGCCGATCTTCGTCGAGCTCTCCAATATTTCATTTCGCCTCCTACAATCGGTCTCAGCTACACGACAAATACTGCGGCAAATTTTCGACTGACTCGATACGTTGACGCGGATCACGCTGCTGACTCCGACAACTGGCGTTCGCATACAGGGTTCATTTTCATACTTGAACCAAATGGTGTAATTTCTTGGAACTCAACGAAACAGAAAGTCATCGCACTTTCGTCAGCCGAAGCAGAATTCGTCGTAGCAAGCTCTGCAGTTCGTAAAGGACTCAATCGTCAAGAGTTACTTCAAGAGGCGAAAATTGCAACGACACGTAACTTCAATTTCTCTGCGTCAACCAGAGCGCAATCAAGATTGCAAACAAGCCTGGCTTCGTCAACAAGACCGAACGTATTGCCCCCCGTTACTTCTTCATCAAGGACGAAATCGACAAAGGAAGGCGATCCTGAAATACAGCCCTAGAGAAGAAATGGCAGCTGATTTTCTTACGAAGACACTCCCACGCGGCAAATTTCAGTACTTCTCCAATTTGGTTGGAATCTGTAAACGAGACGACACTTACCTAGAGACATACACCGGTAGAGTTACCATTTATGCATTCCTGATATTATACTTAGATTGTACTAGTAGCGCGATACCTCATATGGAAGATGCGCGTGACGACGGCCGTAGTAGCGATTCAACGCGTGAACAGTAGGTTCGCGCATATTGTCACCCGAAGGGTCACGCCACTCTCAGTCACACAAACATTCACTAGTCATGTAACGCGAATAGTCGCAATACACTATGAACAGGTACATCCCGAATAGGTACTTTCTAGACTATAAATATGTGTGTATTACTTATTATTATTATCCTTGTCATTTCGAACGTTTCCAATACAAAGTGTTGTTTTCTTCAATGTCCCACTCAGAACTTTTCAAAATTTAATCCCACATACCAGGTTCTCAGCATGACTCGCGTTGACACTGAACCTGATTGGCTATAGTCTGAACGAAAGCGATCAACCTAGTCTAATTTCGACCATTGTGATTTTGAGAAGTGTTAGGTCGCGCATGCAAATTTAGTATTTACTCTGGGTTTTCCCCTTCAAGGTCCCGTTTTCCTGTGTTTTACCATTTCCGGCTTACAGGCTCAAGATGCGTGCAAAAACACGTGAGACTAAATAGGATAAGCGGTGCATCTGATTTCAGTGTTGAACCGGGCACGAACTTATGACGCGCCCTTAGGGCGATTCCTGTACAGTATCATGTCATCAAAAGAGCACTTGCTGCTGTGCGGACTCATCTGTTTCCAGGCCAGATCCCTTCTAATTCCCTCCGCGCTCGCTGCTTTCACAGCACTCACCACCAGCGTCCGTACAAGCCAGCTCTTTCCGGAAGGCGAGCCGGAGCGATCGAGCGAGATATGGCAACGGGATTCGCGCCTCGCATTATACCTCGCATTATCGCGAGCGGCCGCACGAAGCGCTGCAGAGAGGCTTTGCCCCGTCGTCGGTGCAGGAGAGCGATACCGAATACGCTATTGATGCTTCTGGCAGTCGCCGTGGAAATGTGCGCCGTTTCGCCGAGATCGCGCGCTGGCGTCGCTGGCATCGCCGTCGCCGTCGCCGGAGGTGTCGTCGCAGCAGGAGGGCCGTCGCAAGGAGGCAGTTTTTTCGAGTGCGACGAGTCGCAAGCCGCCATGTATTCGGCGACGTTCGATCCCTGTATGCTCCTTCCTTCCAGTAGCAAACCCTCACGCGTGTGTTCAGCTCCCTCCGAGATCGATTGTGTTCAGCTTCCTCCGAATCTCCAAAGCATCTAAGATTCTGAGTTCCTCCCCATAGGATGCTTCCTCACTATCACGACTCTCAATCGCCTCCTCACTCCCACTACGGCTCCCAAATCCGCCGCAATGCTTTCTTCGCTTTCCCTTCAGCTTCACGGGTCCCCCCTAGACACCCCGGTTTTTATCCCTAGCATTGTCCGATGCGGGGGACGCGCCCTTGTGGGAGACATGGCGTCTGAAACCTTCCTCCCTCCTCCCCATTCCCTCTCCCCATTCCCTCTCCCCATTCCCGATCTCGCCAGCACCGCTGCTTCACCTCCGCTCCCACCCCTTCACTTCCTTCCCCACTCCTCCCATCCCACCCCCCCAATCCAAGTTCTCCCCACCCCCCCCCACCCTTCCCCCTCCCCCCAGCGGCCGCCCCGTCAACTTCCTTCCCCCGTTCTCTCCCCCCCCTCATCCCTCCCCCCAGCCTCTGTAGCATCCGCTCCGTGCCTAGCCGTAGCCCATCGTAATCCTTCTAACCCCTTTCTGCCGTAGCCGTGAGCAGCTGGGCAGGGCGCGCCGGCACCCACTCGTAATCCTCCTAACCCCTTTCTGCCTCCTCTCGTCCCCCCCTCCCCTCTCCCCCCAGCCACTGCTCCCTCAGCGCGGTTCCTGGCCATAGCCCACCTGTGGGAGCAGCTGAGCAAGGCGCGCCTGCACCTGGCGGAAGCCATGGCCCTGGCGCGCCACTGGGGGCGCACGCTGGTGCTGCCACGTGTCAGCAGCAGCCGCATCGGCGGCAACAACCTGCCACGTGGCACCTTCCCTGCGTGCGCGTACTTTGACACAGAGCTGATTGGTCGGTTCGTGCCGTGGGTGACGGAGGAGTACCTGTGGGGGGCGGTGGTGCCAGCGTGGGAGGGGCGAGGGGGAGTGGGGCAAGGGGGAGGAAGGGGAGGGAGAGGATGGAGGAGTGCTACAGTGCTGCTAGACGATTTCAGAGGGCAGCGATGCAACCTGGTGAGTGAATCGGTTGGGCGAGTCTGTTGGGCGAGTCTGTTGGGCGAGTCTGTTGGGCGAGTCTGTTGGGCGAGTCTGTTGGGCGAGTCTGTTGGGCGAGTCTGTTGGGCGAGTCTGTTGGGTGAATCTGGTGAGTGTCTGAGAGGGGGAATCTAGGGGTTCTTAGGCGCAGTGGTACAGTGCTGCTGGAAGGGGGCGATAGGGGGTGGAGAGAGGGGGTTGTATGCGTGATTGCATTTGAGCATGGGCACCTTTTCTCCACTCAGCTTTCTCCCTTTGTACTCGCATCCCATCGCATCAAATGCGAGCACGCTGCTAAACGTCCCATTACCCCTCTCGCCCCGCTGCACCTCTTCAACTCTTCATCCCCCTCCCCGATTTGTCTACATTCTAGTCTCTCTGACCCCCACCCTCTCCCAGCCCAACGTCATAGCCCCCATCCCCGTCCCCTCCATAGACCGCCTCGGTGCTCTAGACTCGCTGTCCTGGAACACCTCTCTCTACCGCCTCGCCTTCTCCCCGCACGCCCCCCTGGACTGCACCACCAGCTGCGACGACCGCCCGTGGCTGGTTGCGCTGCGCATCCCCTCTTGCTCTCACACCCTTCTCTTCCCCCTCCTCTCCCTCTCCCCACTCCCCTGTCCCCCCCCTTTCCCCTCCATTCCCAACCTCCCCCGCCCACCCTCCCAATCCCCTCAGACAGCCTCGGTGCTCAAGACGCGCCGGCCCTTCCCCGCCTCCCCCCACCTGCCATCATCCTGGAACACCTCTCTCTACGGCCTCGCCTTCTCGCCGCGCTCCCCCCTTCTCTGCACCACCAGCTGTGACGAGCGCCCGTGGTTACGCTGGTTACCACCGCGCGCGGAGGACTTGAGGGTGCAGGAGGAGGTGGCTGTGCTCATGAAGTTCACCCATACCGCCTGCTTGGGACGGCTCAAACCGCTGGTGGGTGTGTGAGTGGGTGTGGTTGGGTGGGTGTGTGTGGTGTCAGCACGAGGGGTGCGTGTGGAGTGTGCTGAGATGATGGGGTGTCAGAAGAAGTGGCTGTGCTCCTGAGGTTCACCCATACTGCCTGCCTGGGGCAGCCCAGAAGACTGCTGGTGCGTGGGTGTGTTGGTGCGGGTCTCGGCGTGTGTGATGGGTGAGTGAGGGGTGTTCTGCACTTCGTATTGGGGTGGGGTGCTAGAAGAGCTTGCTGTGCTGATGAAATCGACACACACGGCTTGCTTGTGGGGCGGGCACATGGGTGAGAGGTGCGGGAGCCCGTGTGTGTGTGTGTGCCTGACAGTGGTGGAGAAGATGTTTGGTTGGCCGCCTTTAACACCGCTCCTTTTCTCCTCCTCCTCTCGTGGTTCCCTGTTTCAGGCAGGAGTAGCTAGCCTAGGGGCATATCGCCTATGTCCCCCACCCGCACCGCATGACGTCATTCTTTGGATTCTATGGGTCTCTCATCCATCTCAGTGGAGCCAGTACATAGCGGCCCTCTGCCGCGCCACCGGCTCATCTCATTTGACCCATTCCCCCAGCCCCGCCCTTTCCCCGGGTAGAGCTAGCCAAGACCATCGCCTACGCCCTGCACCTGTATCCGCCTTTGCCTTCGCCTCTGCCTCCGCCCACCTGAATGCTGCACGGTGGGCAGTACATGGCAGCGCACCGGTGCATGGAGAAGGCTATAATGAGCACCACCTGTCTCCCCTCCCAACCACCCCACCCCCTCTCCCCCCCCCCTCCTCCCCCCTTTTCAGTCCCCCCTTTTCTCTGGCATAGCTAGCCCAGGAGCGCATAGTAGACGCACCCCATCTCCGCTGCATGGCCTCCTCCTTCCTTCGCGTCCCAGCACCTGAATGGAGGGCGGCGGAATGTGGCGGCGCACTGGCGCGTTGGGAAGGCAAAGGATGAGCCACCGGTCGCCCGTCTCTCCTCCCCAACTCCCACTTGCCCCGTTCTCCCTTCTTCGTCTCTCCCCCTCCCCTTTCCCAGGCAGATCTAGCCCAGGAGCATCTGGAGTACGCCCCCCATCTCCACCGCCTCGTGTCCTCCTTCGCGTCCCACCACCTCAACCAGGGGCGGTACATAGCGGCGCACTGGCGCGTGGAAAAGGCCATGATGAGCCACCGCTCGCCCGTGCAGATGCAGCAGTGCGTGGAGGGGCTGCTGCGGGACACCGCCGTGTGGTGGCTGCAGGAGAGGGAGCGGGAGGCCATGCCGGAGGAGGGGGAAGGGGAGGGGGTGAGGGGAAGAGGGAGTGTAGTGGTGGGTGTGAGAAGGGGAGGGGGAGAGGAGGGCAAGGTGCCAGTGTTCATGGCAACAGATCTGACTCCGGAGAACAAGTGAGCAGGGGGGGCAGAAAGACGCTGGACTGTAAATAGATACACTGAATTTTCTTTTGGGGGGGTGTGGTGGAGTGGGGGAATGTGGTGGGTTGGGTTGGTTGTGTACTTCCATTCTGTGTGCATCTCTCTGCTTGTGGCCATGGATCGGACTGACAGAAACACTTGAGGAGTGTTTGTTCTCTCTCCCTTCCTCCTCTCCCTCGTGCCACCAATCCCTCTCCCCGTTGCCTCCCTCCCTCCACGCATGCACATCTTTCTGTGCCTCAAGGTGGCTATCAGGCACGGCACATCTTGACCAGCGCCACCGGGAGATCGCTTTCCACGCCGTCAAGGCCAGTGCCACCTCGCTCGTCCTCTCACGCACCGTCACTCCGTGAACACTCCTCGCTTCGCTTCGATTTGCACCATGAAGAATCTGTCCCTGCGTTTCATGCCATCTCACTTCGTCTCCATCTCTCCCCCCCCTTTTATGTGCCTCGTCTACCCCTCTCTCCTCCCCACGCCCTTCCCGCCCTTCTCCTTCTCTCATCCCTCTCATCCCTCTCATCTTTCTCAACCCTCTCAACCCTCTCATCTCTTTCATCCCTCTCAACCCTCTCATCCCTCTCGTCCTCTCTCTTCAGGACCTCTACGCTCGACTACAGCCGCCTCAGCTGGACGCCTTTCTCCCTGGTCTACGAGAGGCGGACATCGGAGTGCAGGTGCGTGCCTTCAATTCCGTTAAGCCATTGCTGCATTATGGATATCCATGACGGCCCTGACGGATATCTAAGGGCCTAAGAGGATAATTTCAGAGCCCAAAATGATAGTCTCCTGCAAGGGTCCAAAAGGATAATTCAAGTGCCGGAAGAGGTAACGCAAGTGCCTAAAAGGGTAATCCAAGTGCCTGAAAGGGTAATTTAAGGGCTCAACAGCATAACCCATCGGCCCAGAATAATAACATAACGGCCCAACAAGAATCAAACTTCCCAGATGATATCAAGAACCCATTAGTGTTATCTATTATTCAGAAGATTATCCAAGACCCTGACTGACTCTCGTCTCATCTGAGCTTTCCTCCATCTCCTTCTCGCCATCCCGTTTTCTCCATCTCCTCCTTCTCTATTTGAATGGCAAAATGTTTATCCGTCGGCCTTGTCCCGATTCACTTGCTCTCTAAGCCATTGCTGCACATTGGATATCAAGAAGGCTGTGAAGGAAATCTAAGGGCCCAAAAGGAGAATCTAAGGACCCGAAAGGAGAACCTAAGGGCTCAAAAGGAGAATTTAGGGGCCCAAAAGGATTGTTGTTTCTCCCCTCGAATATGCTTTAATTCATGTGCCCTCATGCGGCCTTTTTCACCTTTCCTCCTTCCACAACCCCCCCCCCCCCCCCCCCCCACACCAGGCCATATTGGACAAGCTGCTGTGTATAAACGCTGCAGTGTTTCTCTACGCACCACCCAGCTGCAGAAACTACGCGCCCACAGGGAGTGGCTCTGCCGTGGCTGATGAAATCTGCTGGTGGCGGGCACGGCTGGGAAAGGAGGGGCGGATGAGGGGGAGTAGAGGATTGTCTCCTTGCAGGATGTGGGGGGACGGGCAGTGATTCTTAGCTGTACACTTGTTATGTTGCACTTGTTTTGCCCGTGTACAGCTTTGTGCTGTTCACAATGAATCCACTTCTACACTCCCTCTTTCTCTCTCCCTCTCTCTCTCTCTCTCTCTCTCACTCTCTCTCTCTCTCTCTCTCTCTCTCTCTCTCTCTCTCTCTCTCTCTCGCTCTCTCTCAAGCGGTCCTTTATTATGTTTATAAGGGGTACAGAGGTACAAACAGGGTTATGTATGTCCTAGTGTCCCCGAGCATCCTACTGCTGCCCGGGCCACCTGTCGCAGGTAGGTTCAATGGTGGCTTCAAGTTCTCCCCAGGTAAGAGGTTCGTCTAGGGGGCGGTCGTGGCTGAAAGCTTGGCCTGTCACCTGGCCAATTTTCGCATGGAGGGTGATTGCCTGCTGCCGCTGGAGGGTGACTGACCACCTCTGGCGATAGCTGTGCAGTACCTTCTTTGCCACCGCCGACTTTTCGTCGGCCTGGTGGTTCCGGCGGGCTGAGAGGGCAGCCAGTACTCGGAGGAACTCGAGTGTGTCGGGGGAGCAGCAGCCGTATGTCTCAGTGGCGACTCCCAGCACCTTCACAAAGGTGAGTCGTTCGTCGTACAGGTCCCGCTTCTTGCCCTGCATCTCTGCCGCCATCCACCCTGTCCCCTTTCGTGCTGTTGGGTCGCGGGTTGAGATGGGGTCGGTGACTGTGACGTCGCAGACCCATACCGCGCCTGAGCCCGGGCATCGGAGGGTGATGTCGGCGCGCCGTTGGGCAGTTTCGGGTAAGTAGAGCGTGGATTCCATGTGGGCCACGAAGTGGGATTCTCGGGCCAGTCGCATCCCGAGGTTCACGAGTGCGTCGTGGGTCCGCTTTGGACCCCCGCCCTGGGTGCACCGTAGCATGTGGTTGGGCAGCCGGTTGTCTGGTATCGCATGCTTTTCCCGGCAGTTGCATTTGCCGGGTAGGGAGTGCTGCAGGCCCAAATCTGACGAAGAGCGAATCAGCGCCCTCACACAGCCTAGAGGGGCGAAGTGTCAAACATATCTTTGTATGTTGTTATAAACTATACAGGGTTATGCCTTAGAGAGTACAACCTTGTATATTTCCTTGTATCCCACATTTCAGGTCATTCGTTAACTTTGATATGGTATCATGAGTAGGTTAGGTTCCCCCCGCCCACTAGCCCTTCCGCCCTAGGTCCTAGCCGCCCCGTTCCCCTCCCGCCCGTGCTGGCCCATCCCCTAGTGGCCCCCGTCTCCTAGCCGGCCTCGTCGCCTAGCCGGCCCCGTAGCCCGGCCGGCCCCGCCTCCTAGCCGGCCCCGTCGCCTAGCTGGCCCCGTCGCCTAGCTGGCCCCGTCGCCTAGCCGGCCCCGTCGCCCAACTGGCCCCGTCGCCTAGCCGGCCCTGTTATCAGAAATTGAATTGAATGATGTTTGAGAGAGAGTACACACAGATATACCTAAGTGTTGTACCCTCTAAGAGGCTACCCTATACAGTCTATACAAACATGACAAATACACATGTTTGACACACCCCCTAGACTGCATAGGGGAATGTCCTAAACAAGCAGCTCAGGGCGGCACTACTAGTCCAACCTCTGAGACAAGGGTCTGAGAGACCAGTCAGAAGGAGTACAGACAAGGCCAGAACAAGAGCAGGGCGGCACAACTAGTCCAGCCACTGGGAGAGGACACAAGTCCAGTCTGAGTATACATATAAAGGATAGTTCAAAGTCAAGGTCCTAGCAAGTGAGAGGCTACAGGAACTAGACCAAGCTGTACACAGTGCCGCTGATGATCTTTAGGCGCAAGCGCCTTCGTAAAGATATCAGCCGTGTTGGCACCTGAGGCCAAGTGTACTACGCGAGCCTGACGTCGCTGCTGTAGCTCACGCAGGAGGAAGTACCGCAGCTGAATGTGCTTCGCTCTGCCCTCAAGTCGAGGCTCCTGACACAGGAGGATCATGGCCCTGTTGTCAGCGAACAGGACCGGGGCAGAGCTAGGCCGCTCACCTAAGTCAGTGAGCAAGAAGGTCAGCCAGCGGAGCTCCTGTGCCGCCATGGCACCAGCGTAGATCTCAGCCTCACAGCTGGACTGGGCAACAGACGAGGAGCGGGTAGCTCTCCACGAGACGGCACCTGAGCCAAGGCTGAAGCAGTAGCCCTGGGTAGACCTGAGTGTCTCAGCGTCGTCTGCCCACGAAGCGTCTGTGTGTCCAGTAAGGACCACTGGCCTGCGTCCTCCTAGCACTAACCCCATGCCCGATGTACTAGCAAGATAACGCAGAACCCTCTTAGCGGCAGACCAGTGCTGCGGTCGGTGTCTGCCTGTGGCCACAAAACGAGCCAGGATGCTGAGAGGGTATGCGAGATCTGGGCGAGTGCAAGTCATCAGGTACATGAGGCAACCCACCAGCTCTGCGTAGGGGCCGCTGGGCTCTACCAACTCCTCAGACACTGGAGCGGAGAGCCTGTGGTCTACAGGCAGAGGGGTGGGCTGTGCAGAGGAGAACTGAAGGCTGAACCTCTGAAGGACCTGGCGCACCAAGTGTGACTGAGTCAGGGTGATGGTGCGCGCAGCTCTGTCCCTGGAGATCTGCAAGCCAAGGTAACGGCGCAGTTCTCCAAGGTCAGTGCAGGTGTGTCTCTTCAGCAGCTCTGCCTTCACGGAGGCCAGTGCGTCCCTGTCTGCTGTGGCAAAGACCAGGTCGTCGACGTAAACAAGGATGTAGAACGGAGTCTGGCCAGCACGAACGAAGAGGGAAGGGTCTGCGGAAGACGGAAAGAACTGCAGGTCAGCAAGCGTAGCACGGAGAGTGTCGTGCCACTCACGGGGAGCCTGGCGCAGGCCGTAGACGGGGCGCCGCAGGAGCCACTGGGTCCCAGGAGGGAAGGTGCCAGTAAAGCCCGGAGGGCGACGTAGGTAGACCTGCTCGTGTAGGCTGCCCTGAAGGAAGGCAGTGGAGAAGTCGAGGGAGTGAAGCTCGTAGTCGCGCTGAGCAGCTAGGTGTAACAGAACCCGAAGAGTAGTCATCTTCGGGGTCGGAGCGAAGGTCTGGAAGAAGTCCACCCCCTCGCGCTGACTGAAGCCTCTAGCCACGTAGCGCGCCTTGAACACAGGCGGCTCTCCAGGAGGGCGCTTCACCTTGAAGAGCCAGCGGCCATCGACTACGTTCACCCCAGGCGGGGGAACTGCGTCGACGAAGGTGCCGGTGGATCTCCAAGATGCCATCTCCTGCTCCATGGCAGCTATCCACTGCGAGGCCCAGGGTCCCGAGGTCGCCTCAGCGTAAGTGCGAGGGGTCGGGATGTCGAAAGCGTCTGGGTCACCCTCTGGGACTAGCAGCATGGAACAGAGATGGGGAGCAGCCTCGGACAGGAAAGCAAGCTCGAACTGGCGGTCCTCCAGGACGTCACTGCCAAGGGCAGGAGCACCCCCGACAGACGGAGGACAGGCAGGGTCAGAGACCAGAGCGGTGGCGTAGTCAAGGCGGCAGGTAGAGGCGAAGTCCGCGACCGCAGCGACAAGAGCGTCAAGGCACGAGACCGGAACAGACGGGTCGGTAACGAGAGAGGCAAGGACCCGAGGAACAAGAGGACGAGCGGCAAGAAGGTAGTCAGACAGCGGGGGGGGTGCAACAACAAGGGAGGACGGAGGAGGCGACGGCAGAAGGGGAGGACGAGACGCGTGGGAACGAAGCAACATAGGGTGGGAGCGCAGGACAGGCGAGGCAGGACGAGCACGGGAGGGACGGTGAGACCAGACGTGCGACGGAGGAGTCGGGTCAGGAGACAGAGGGGACACAGGAGGGGAACGAGGGGGGAGACGAGCCGGGGACGAGTCCGGCGGAGGGAAAACAGGGCCGTAGACAGGAAGAGGAGGAGACGGTCGGGGAGGAACCGACGCAGGGTCGGGGGACGGCAGGCCGAGCAGGCGAAGGGCTGACACCGGCGGGGACTGCTGCTGCGGCGGCACAACGGCGACACCGGGACTGCTAGCTGCTCCTCGGCTACCCCCGACACTCTCCACACCAGCACCCCCAGAGGGACCACCCCCAGGGCTACCAGGACGAGCACCCCCAGAGTCAGCGAACGGGTGCTGCGACGGCAGCGGCGGCGGCGGCGGCAACGACGGCTGCAGCGGCGGCAGAAGCGGTGGAGGAGGGGACTGGGGAGGGGACGCCAGGGGAGGGGCGGCTGACGAGGACTGCACAGGAGGGCCACCAGAGGCAGAAGACTCCTCAACCGGGTCCACCGACGGAAGGGGGGTGACGTGGGAAACACCAGAGGGGGCGGGACGGGGAGGAGGAGGAGGAGGGGCAGGGACTACCGCGGAAGGAGGGACCAGGAACAGGGGGGGGGTAACCGGGGGACCACGGTGGGGGAAGCGACGGTAGTAGGAGACGGACTCGTCAAAGGTGACGTCACGAGAGTGAAAGAAGCGGTGAGACGGCGGGTGGTAAAAGTGCCAGTCGGACGCGTCAAGGGGAAAACCGAGGAAGACGCAGGGAAGGGTGCGGGCAGTGAGCTTGTCCGTGCCGGAGGCACGGACGTGAGCAAGGCAGCCCCAGACGTGGAACGCAGACGCGTCACCAGGAGACCCAGTCCAAAGACGGGTCGGCGAAACCTGCGGCTGCTGAGGGTGCGGCCACAGGTTAAGCTGGTGAGAAGCGTAGCGCACAGCGAACGACCACAGAAAATGCGGTGCACCGGCATGGATCATGGAGGTGCGAGCCACCTCCATGACCAAACCGATGCGTCGCTCAGCGACCCCATTCTGCTGTGGGGAGTCCGGTAGGGTGAACGTCTGGGTGATGCCCTCCGCACGACAAAAGCGACCAAGGACACCTGAGGCAAACTCGCCACCACGGTCTGAGTGAAGACGCAAGACAGGGAGACCGCGGTGGACACGCGCAGAGACAAGCCAGGGGATGAGAGCGCCAGGCACGTCGGCCTTGCGCTCCAGGGGAAAGACTGTGGTGTAGCGAGTGAAGTCGTCGACAAGCACAAGGAAGTAGCGCTCTAGACGCGGCCCAGGGACAGGGGCGGGGCCCCATACGTCCAGGTGCAGGGTCTGC